GATTATGATCTTCAGATCCATCTGAGAGCGCATATTCCTGACTTCTAACAGCTTACCCCTTAGTCCTCTTACGTTGCTATAGAGGCACTTGGTGGTTTGTCTCTGAACCTGGTGCACATTTGAAGCATCAGCCTTAGTCGGGTTTTCAGACAAGTTATTTAAACCGAGTCGGCCAGTTCTGTGGGAACTGGCCTCTGCAGGTTTTTTGCCTGCGCGGTTGGTTCACTCACATCTTGAGCCAGAGGTAGTTGACCGAGTTTAACTATCAGCTGTGTGCGTTCATTTTGGCCTCCCTGTTGTTGTCTCACAGATCTTGGTCGGCTCTCGCAACATCTGATGTGGCTAGGTAGATCGTTCTTCGAACTGTACCAAGCTTGTAGTGTTTCGGTCAGGTCTTCCCGGTTCCTGAGTGTTACAGCTATCAGGCGTGGTGACTTGATAGACGTAAGGTGTGACGGGCGGGGCAACCTGGAGATGGAGACTGCCATCGGGGTGTGGAGGGATAGGCTACGCGATAGCCATCGCCACTGTTGCACATCGTGCTCGTGTGCTTCGTCCGGGTTACCATTGGTGAGTTCGGGTATGCCGTGAACTACCATGGTGGTCTGTTCCTGGGTGTCTGGTGCAGTTCTGGCTGCTGCACGTACCGACCACGGCTTGTCATGCCTGATACGAATCAGCGAGGACAATTTGACCGATGGTCTTTGGGACGAAAGGATGATGTCTTCAGCTAGTCGTGCTGAGTCAAGAGTTACCCTCATTGGAGGGGGTTTTCCTTTCGAGACGTTCTGACCTTTGAAAAGGCGACAGATTTTAGCTGGGACCTCGCACATTCCGAGGGTGGAGCAGAATTTATCCCATTGCTCTTTGTCGAAGGCAGCCCTACCTTCTAGCAAGCTTCCTTCCGACACTGGGACGTTAAATAAGATGAGGGAGTTAGATCTGTTGTCCCTGGTCTTGGGTGGAGGCTGCTTGTGAGTTGGGGTGTTTCCCTTTCCCTTCTTCACGGTTACCGATTGTTGCCTGTTGCTGGTAGCTACTGGGGGGACAACAACAACCGGCGGTTTTGTCGGCGTGTTAGGCAGGGTTGTTGTAGCCTTGGTCACTTGTTTTACCGGTTTAGTGCCAGGCGATTTTGCCTTAGTCGTTTGGACTTGAGGGCTGGTTTTAGGTGAGACCTGTGGCTTTGTCAGTGCCTCAGAAACTCTGCACCGAGGGCAGACGTACCAGAACCATGGGCAGGGGTGACTCAGCATGAAACCATAGTACTCTTTAGGTACTGTATTGTCGCAGTGACAATGTACCCACGTACTGCAGAAATTGCATTCAAAAGCATGGTCGCTGGTTTTGACTGGTGATGAGCAGGCAAAACAGTCGTCCTTATGCTGTTTCAGTGTCGACCGAGCCTTGGGGCGTCTTTTCCTCCTATTCTTAACTAACTTACTGGTCTTTTTAGGAATAGGGGTGGTGTCTTGCCTCCTCTGTGGTGTCTGAGTTGAGTGGTCTAAAGTGTGGACACTGAGGGGCGTACTATCGACTGACCTTTTGGGATTTTTAGCAGCCCGTTCGCACGATATTGGAATTTTTGATGCGCTATCGACCTCGGGGTTTATGCCTCTATAAGTCTTCCTAGTTGTTACAGTGTAAAGAGTACTAGCGACCTTATTACTTGACATGATGCCAGGGAGATTGGGAGGTGATTACCGAGATTAAAATATGAGATACACAAAATTAGGATACGAGATACACAAAAAAGGGGTTTAGGAAAGAAGAAATCTAGTAGTATAAAATAAAACTACAAGGAATAGAGCCTGAAAGTACTCCAAAATTGCAACTTTACCTTTGACCGTATTAGTAAGTAACTTTGCGTGTATCCAGTAACTTGTCCACAAGTCCTGTGTTTGTGAGTGAGTGGATGTATGTATGCTGCCGAAGCAACTAGAAATAGAGCAGTTGAATGAGGTAGCTAGACCTACCGCGCAATGGTTCTGACTTGGAATGGTTCCGTATTCCCGAAAATGTTTTCAGATTGTCAACCAATGAATGGAGACAATTTTTTATAGCTTCGGAGGTGATAAAGTATCCCGAAAGTAGATTGTTTTCCGTAAATGGAAGAGAGTCAGCGAGGGCACGTCAAATTCGAAGCGCGTTTATCTCCTTATTATCACTGTCACTACTAAGGTTCTGATGGCTACTATTTCCATGGCTAGTCGTAGCATCCGAAAGAGCATGAGGTTTAGGCTTCTTAGTAATAGTATCATCATGTTGTCTCCTAGGCTTCTTAGCCTTTACAGTACCACCATCACTTATCCTAGAATCTACTCTAGGTCCAGTTATATAATTTACCCTAAATGAAGGGTTCCGAACATAGGCTTTATTTCGTTCAGACAATCCTGACTGGGCCTTATTCATATTTGCTGAACTCATTAACCTCTGATTCCTCGAATCCAAATTACCGTTCCAGGCTTTTCGAGCAGCTAAGAGGCTTTTATCATCACACACTTCGGATCCATCTTGATGCCTACACTTTTCACCTTTTTCTTTCTTTTCTATACTTAGAAAAGCCATCTTATCTGTTACACCAACCGGCTTCTTACTAGGATACGCATCAAGAGGTTTTACATCGTTACGGTCACATACTCGTCCTTCATCAGCGTATGCTTTCGTGATATAATTGACAACTCTCTTATCTTCCGAGCGTGCTTTAGGTAGAAACGAAAAATCCTCATGTCTCGCACGCAGACCACTAGTAGCTTCCGTATTATTTCCTGTTTTAGCCCGATAAGCTAATCTTCCAAACCTACTACTAGCTATCTTAGCACGAGACATAATAAATTCCGTCAATTCATTGAAACTAGGCTCTCTCTCCTCTTCGTCCCACTTGATTCCTAGCTCTGCCCACTGAGCTTGCATTCGACGAGGTAAGAGCCTGACTATTCGTTCTAAAGTAACCATGGAATTAAGTTCCGTTGTGCAATTTAGCTGTTCTAAAGTTAAAGCAGCATTCTGCATTTTAATAGCCAAGTTCGTCAATAATTCAGGATCATTAAAATCTACATTCCCAGTTCTAAATAAATCCTCTAAGGTTTCTCGGGCTATTACATGCGACTGTCCAAAGAGCTGTTTTAAAATGGCCTTAGCTCTCTTATATCCTGCTTGTGGATCCATAATAATACAGCCTTCAATCGCATTTTTTGCTTTTCCCTTACAATAATGAATTAAATACAATAAACGCACTTGGTCGTCTTTTATTCGGGGTTCTATAAACGTTTCGAATTGTCGCATGAACCTAAAATAGTCGCGAGACCTTCCATCAAAATATGAAAGTTCGACCTTAGGTAGTTCTAAACCCTCTATCGATGTCTTTCGTATCTGATCGGTCTCTGGTACTTTTGAACTCTCACTTAATCCTGGTTCCTTCATGCCTGCCAAAGGTCACTTACAATAATAAATATCAGACATAACATGTGGGTTACCCATAAAAAATTCATCATTAACGACTTGCCTAGAGCTCTGTGATCCGTCGAGCTCTTCCACCCTCCTCATGTGTGATTTTTTTCTGTTTGACATCATAAATGAAGTTCAATAAGAAAGGTAACAAATACAAAATATAGTAATTCCACAGTTCAGTTTCGGAATATGATAAATAATCCAAACTTCTTCCTCCAAGAAAGTCTAGTGTGATAAACGATTAAAATTCCAAATGTTTCTTTATAATTCTTAATAATCCAACTGTAATCGTAATAGATAATTCCAGGATATAATCGTTGATAGAAGTATTTCCAGACTGTAAATGTATTTCTACAGTGGCCGTCCCAATTGGTTCCAATAGAGGCACTCCTGTACGCTTTTCCCAGTTCCGGGTCCCAACCAATTCAAAAAGGGCAAAATTCTAGGAGAAAGCGTCTGTATTAGTTAAAAAATGGAAATACAAAGCATTACCTGGAAATAGTGCTTCTTCCAGGGTTCAGTTACTCCGCAGAGTATCAGACACAGTAACAAATAAGTGACGCTAAGTCCAGCGGCCACTGCATCAGTCCAAAAATGTGGCGGTAGCCATATTATATCAAATTTAAACAACATATGTACAGTTCAGAAGCAAACACAAAAACTTCAATATAAGTACAAAATATAGAAAGAATAACAATATACAATGATAAAATCTCAAATTGGAATCAAATAAAATACCAAAAATGTCAACAGAAAAAGTCCGTCATGTCATAGCAAAAATATGTAAACATGGAGGGATTTTCCAAAAAACAAAACATTCAAAAAGGATTCTACATAGGTGATCTCAAGATCTGGAATACTTTCCTCCTAATGCAAATTCATAGAAAAGAAACTAGAAGGTACTTGAACCAGACCATTAATCCTACTGGGAAGCTCCTAATTTGTAATTGTTCCAGAAAGAGAAATTTAGGGAGGGTAAAGCCATGATGTGCCACATCTAAAGTTTCCTTTGCCCTAGCAGACCTCTAACTCGTTTCAGCAAAAAGTCAAGCCTAAGAGGAATTTCACCAAATAAAAAAAGAAAATTCGCACAAACTCTTTCAAGATTCAACTCTGCAAATTGTGATAGCTGCTGGCACCCAGAAATCCTACTGCCCTGAAGCAAACGTTTTCATTCAAATCCCAATACATACAAACTTACAACCAACTGCAAACTGACGAGAACTAGACAGTCGAGTGGCTAGTTCCCCATTCATTGGACACTTCCAAACACCTGGAACCCTACCGAAATGACAAAAAATTGAGCGCGAAGAAACCAATTGGTTTACACTAGCTCTTGAAAAAGATATTGGATCCTACAAGTTGTAACAATGCCACCCATCTGATGACAAGTATGTATATGATATATCACATAAAGAAATCACCATACATACCTCTTTGTAATTGAAAACGGGCTTCAAATACACAGATGCATATCTAAAGGAACAAACAGGTAATTGGGTCTGCTCAGCAGAGTTGAAAGTTGAATAGTTTAAGTGTTTGAAAGTTATGAGTACTCCAAGGTTCAAAACTGCCCGCAAAACATGACTTTTGTTCCATAATGTGTCAGGCAGGTAAGTCATCCCAGAGCTCATTTTTCGTGTCATTTTAATGCATATGTTTCTTGATATTGTTAAACATATGAAGTTCAGAAGGAATATTGCAAAGGCTGTTAGCTTTCCAATTATGCGCATCGCATTTTGCTAAATACCCAAAGTAAATTATTAAATCTACTCAATCATATGCAGAATAAAATCATTAGTGTATGCTTATGCTATACCATAAAACTACCAATCACTTGGCTTCTAATTCGAGAGCTTTCAGTGGAATTCGAACAAGTCGATTTGGCAAGAAGTATGGAGTAAAATATAGGCGGACAAATTACGTGAAAATTTGAGTCTGGGCAACTTTCGGTCCAGTTTTAAGTGATTTCTCATGTCTTACTGTAAATTATACCTGTCTTTTTGCAGGCTAGAAATACCCCAACAGTTTTTATCAACTACGAATGACAGTTGCTGCTTAAGACTCGGTTAAAAAGCAACTTTTCAAATAAAGATTCTTTTGATAAACTTGTGTTACAGATGTCAAATTGCTTAACGTTAAGGGCACACCTACATCAGGGTGGGGGGGGGTATTATACATGTTAACTGCAAGAAGTTGACAAGTCTTTTCTCGATTAAGTTTAACAAAAGTACACGTTGCATATTAATAGCTCTACACACATGGACTCAGATTTTATAACAACGATTAAATGTTTTTCCGAAAGCTATTTACTACACTTGGCAAACCGTTATTGGTTCTAAATGTACGATTGGTTTGGTAACCTGTTGTGCTACCTGGCATTACTAACATTGATTCTTATAATATGTGTCTAATAATATATGTCCCGACCGAAGCTGCTACCTTGACGTGGTGGTCGGGCTTGCCTATCGTGATGACCCAACCGAGCTATACTGGCTGGAACACATGTTCCTGCAGGTCCTACCATGTCAGGCAGGTCGATTGGAGAACGATGAGACTAAAAGCAGCTACCCAAGGTCTGAGGGCGAAGTCGTACTGCTGACTGCAGAGTTGTGTGACAGCAGTAAGGTGTTTCCCTCGGACAACCAGCATCTGCAGCGATGCTGCCTTCTCACAAGGAAGGAAGGGTTAGAAAATGTCGGCCCTAAAAATGTCACACCTCCCCTACCTCACGGATTTCCGTCTCCTTGGGTAAGGGTGCCCACTAAGGGCCTTTAAGAACGGAGCTAATCCTCTAAATACCTCTCATAAAAAGGCCGTGCGTGACCGGCCTCAAGCAGTTGTCCCTTGGACTCTGCGGTCACGTCAAGAAACAACCTTCCACGGTGTGGGCAGCCGGGAAGTGACAACCGCCCTCATACCCGCAACAGCACACGAGACCAAATTGTTCAAAATCAAATCCTTCCTACATTCCCTAATACCTCTCTTATCTCCACAACTAACTCTTCTCACATTCATTTATTACAGTGCACAGCTAATGCAAACGATGCGAGTTTGCGAAACGTCGTGCCTGGTCTCCTTAAACCCCGTTCCAAACTACATGTTGGAGCATTCAATGTACGGACATTGTGTCAAATAGGGCAACAGGCATCATTAGCTAGGACTTTAGAATCTCGTTCCATCGATGTGTGCTGCGTCTCGGAAACGCGCATACAGGATCCGAGTAGCATCACTCATTTGACCTCACCATGTCAAGATAAAGAAGCAGCTCGATTTACCCTTCGTGTATCCGGTAGCCCTGATGCTGCTTCTAGGGGCCTCGCCGGTGTAGGTATAGCATTGAGTCGTAGGGCAGAACAATCTCTCCTTGACTGGATCCCTGTAGATAGTCGCTTGTGCGCCGTCCGACTGAACGGGACAGTAAGGACTCGGAAAGATAGGGACACTCGCCGTTGCCTCTTCGTCATATCAGCCTACGCCCCCACTGACTGCAGCCCAGATGATGTAAAAGATGAGTTTTACAGAAAGCTTTCGGACCTCCTCCAAAAAGTTAGGCGCTCTGATATAGTTATAATGGCTGGTGACTTCAATGCACAAGTAGGTAGACTAAGTGAAAATGAAAGACACCTAGGTGGATGTTACGGTCTCGCGGCTCAAAGAACAGACAATGGCGACCGTCTGTTGCAACTGTGCTCAGATAACCAACTATTTCTAGCAAACACTAATTTTAAGCATAAAGAAAAACACCTTTTGACCTGGCGACCCCCGAAGTCGTCTCAACGTTGGACACAACTAGATCATATCGCCATCAGCCACCGATGGAGGGGTTCGATAGAGGACTGTTGCTCGTTCTGGAGCACATGTTTAGATTCAGATCATGCCCTAGTGCGAGCACGTATTTGTTTGAGGCTTGCTGGACGTAGGAAAGACACCGTAAGGAAGCCTCTTAGGGCTTTACTTGGTGATAATCAAGCTAAGAAAATATTTCAGGAGGAACTAGAAAAACAGTTAGGCGGCCATGCTAGTGATTCCCATCCTGAAGCAGGTTGGAATCATATCAAGAAGGCTGTGAAAACAGCAATGGTATCTGCTAGCAAGGTAAACCACAATGCTAGGATGAAGCAGTGGATTTCAGTCGCATCCACCGAACTGATGGATGCTCGAAAACGCATCCCACCTGACTCTGAACATGATGAAGAGCGTAGTCAGCTTAGGTGCAGACTAATAAAAAGCCTACGTAACGACCGTGAACAGTGGTGGGTGGCGAAAGCAAAAGCGATGGAAAAGGCAGCGGCGATAGGCAACACTAGACAACTTTTCCGCCTTATCAAAGAAACCGGTATTAGGAACCCGAATGTAAGTGAGACTATCTCGGAAAAGGATGGTCTTATTATCCATTCTCAATCTAGGAGGCTGGACCGATGGGCAGAACACTTTAGGGATCAGTTCAACTGGCCTTCAGCCACTCTTCGGTTGCCCACGATCTCCAGTCATCCTGAATGGCAAATCGATTTAAGTCCTCCCAGTTTACATGAATTTGAGAAAGCTATAGGAAATCTAAGGAGAGGTAGAGCGGCAGGTCCCGATAGGCTTACCCCTGAGATGTTTAAGGATGGTGGTCCAGTTTTAACGGTTAGACTGACCGAGATCCTAGGTAGAATCTGGGAAATGGACGTAATCCCATCTGACTGGTCTCAGTCGCTAATTGTCCCAATCTACAAGAAAGGACAGAAGTCCTCTTGTGACAATCACAGGGGAATATGTTTAACTAATATAGTTTCTAAATTGTTATCCTCGATTATACTTAGACGTCTAACTAGAGCTCGTGAAGAGCAGACTCGAGAAAACCAGGCTGGTTTTCGACCTGGACGTGGTTGTATAGACCACATCTTCACACTACGACAGGTCCTGGAACACAGACACACATTTAGACGTCCGACAATAGTCGTGTTCCTGGACCTTAAGGCGGCATTCGACTCAGTGGATCGTGAGGTTCTGTGGCAGTGTCTGTCATTGAAAGGTGTACCAAAGAAGTACAGTAACCTTATACAAGCACTCTACTCGAACACCACTGGTCGGGTGAGAGCATATGGCGAACTGTCATCTGAATTCTCTACATCAAGTGGTGTCCGTCAGGGCTGTCCACTCTCTCCATTCTTGTTCAACTTTTTCGTAGACATCCTCTTAGAGTTAACATTAAGCTCGTCAGATTTTTCAGGGGTTGACCTTCTACCAGGAAAGTCGCTTACTGATCTAGAATATGCCGATGACATAGTTCTATTCGGTGAAGACGCTGACAAAATGCAGAGTCTTCTGACTACACTAAACAACAATGCGAGCATGTTCGGGATGCGGTTTTCCCCCTCGAAACGCAAAATGTTGCCTCAAGACTGGGTTGCTCCGGCACCTGAACTAGTGATAGGGAGTGAAGTAGTCGAGCGTGTAGATCACTTCACTTATCTGGGGAGTCTCATCAGTGCTGACGGTCTGGTGACTGACGAAATCTCAGCTCGGATACAGAAAGCTCGATTGGCTTTTGCCAACCTGCGTCACTTATGGCGTAGGCGTGATATCCGTTCGCTAACCAAAGGGCGGGTGTACTGCGCAGCAGTTCGTTCCGTTCTCTTATATGGCTGTGAAACATGGCCGTTAAGAGTAGAAGATGTTTGTAGGTTACTAGTATTCGATCATAGATGTTTAAGAAGAATTGCTCGTATATCTTGGGATAGCCGAGTAAGCAATGCTGTCGTTAGGAAACGAGTACTAGGTAAGGATGGCAGATCAATCGATGAAGTGGTGAAACTTCATCAGTTGAGGTGGTTGGGACATGTGTTACGTATGCCTAACCACCGACTGCTTCGACGAGCTGTTTTGTGGTGTAGGAGTAGGTTGGAAGAAAGTTAGGGGCGGCCCACTCAAAACATGGCAGAAATCCATGAAGTCACTGACAAGTGGACTGAGTCATGTTGGTAGATGTAGACTACCTGGTTAGGGTCCGCGAGACGAAAGTCATCAATGGTTAGAGACCTTGAACGACATGGCTCAAAATCGTTTGCAATGGCGCAGGTGCATCCACTCTTTGAGCTCTCTCAAATCCTAATTTTCTGGATTAGCCAGCACTTCTACCTTTGTCTTTCTAACCTTATCTCACTGAATTATATTTTTTGAATAATATCTTAAACCCTAGTCTTCTTTATTATAACATTAATACCTCTACCATCTTTATCACTATGGGATTTGATTTGACATTTGCGTCTCTGTGCTAATAATGTGGTATGGCAACATGAACTTATGTACATACGTACGAAGTTCTACGTTGCAACTGACTGACTGACTGACTTATAATATGTATTTTGTTATGTTTGGTCATGAGGCCAGCATATTCCCCATGGATTTCCTACATCTTAATTATGTTGCTTAGGATTCTTGAATTTACCCATCACTTATATTATACATTTCTGTCAACTGATTGTTTTGTAGATGCTAAATTTCAATCACTTGTTTTCCCTGAGGCTGAAGTAAGTACTTTTTAAAATCTAGTGTCAGTTTTCAGATCCTGAATGATGTAGTTTTAGCTGGAGATGCTCACTTTCTTACTAGTCTTCATAATTTTGAGGATAGTTGGTCTCCCGAGCCAGGTTAGCGTATTTCATTTTTTACTTTCTAGTTAACATTACCCCATCCACATCTGACTATTTACAAAACGAATTCAAAAACTTATCGCTTGAGTCTAATCATCTGTATGCTTCTACACATAAAAGTAAGATAGAATTTCATCTGCTAACTTATAAGATCTCCAAATTCTACAGAATCTCAACTCAGAACTGCATTCATTAGGCAGGACCTCTACTGTATACAAAAGCTTGGAATCACTTACACCACTAATAGGAACGAAAAAAGGAACGAATATCAGTACTGTAAGTTCATGATCACCTCTGTCAGATTTGGATTTTTTTCATACTTCACAATATGCTAAGCAATTGTTCTCGTATGTCATTAAAATTTTGCCTATTTATTTAAAGGGGCATTAAAATATGTATGTAGCCCGTGATATCGGGTCACCAAGATTAGATCCATACACTGTTTGTCCCCCCAGGATTACGGAGCTCACTTGTCTATAATTGGAGTTTCCCAACTCCCCTAGGTGGATATATCGTACCCATCAACTTGGTTTGGGCTCCAGATACTGTCTATTTGTCCTCTCAACTTTATAAAAAGCACCACTGCTCCAAGAAGGGAGTAAGTAGGACCTCCCTGGAAGGGACATACGAGTAATTAGACGGAAGTGTTTCGAGGGAGAAAAGACTCCCCAGCGCCGACCGTACTAGGACGTTTGGGGGATCTCATTAAAAACAGTTCAATGGGTGGGTTTGTGTGGTTTTTGAAATTCTCAGAAAGTAGCTAGTAATGTTCCTGAATATAGTATATTCATAGAGAGGAGTAGTTAAAATCAGCTAATGACAGTCACCAGTACCTTATTTTGTCGTGACTTTTTGTGATGGAATTTATCTCCCGATTGTTTTCTGCCATTAATACTACTCACTTGAAAATGGGTTCATAAATGTTCTTAATAAAGCTTACTTTCAGTGTTTCGATTGGCGAATTAAATTGGTCAGCGTATATTGTTGGTTGAAGTTTACACATCAGTGCAGTGAGTGAGAAAGCCACATTTGGGATAAGTACTTTCCTAAAGTTTTGAGACTTGTCATTAGTAACTTTAAACACCCGGAGATATATAATGATGGACTAATCTGTTGGATTGAAATAAAGTTGTATTATCGACTTGATTATTATTATAATTCGGTAACACTACGATATAAGGATGTTGATTTCTGCAGTTCATCAAGAAAGAATTTGCATTGCTCTTAAGACTAGAACCTTTGGGCCCACCAAATTCTTGTGATTTCTTAATTCCAGGTGAATTTATCATAATTTGAAATTTACACCTAACTCTATCTTTTTTCGTGGAATTTTAAACTAATGTGTTGGTTTCAACAATGGAATACCGTCTTTCTAATTCTAACTTGTGTTAGTATATCCAAATGTATCTTCTACTCATACAAGTGATTTTGTAAGACTGCATATTTTGAAAGTTTATTTATGTAAAACCATTTGTCCAAATCATCAACTTCACTCACTGGTAATCAACTTAAGGCTCTCTGACGTGTTCTATTGGAGATCTCGTGGTCAGTAGAGTTCACTTACTTTAAGATAAGATAATAACTCACTACTAACATAAAACGTACTATATCGTGAATTGAATGCTACTGAAAACGTTGATCATTAAGTTTCAACGCAGTAGTTGAGTTGTATCATACTTGATACAAAAACCGGTGACTCAAGGTTCATTCCCTCATGTGACCATTGATGTGCACTGCTAAAGTATGCTATAGTGAAATAGTACCGTTATCAAATGCACTTTGGTCTTCAGTGGTTTTCTAGCTTACAATATTTCGTGATAAAAACTACTTTCAAATATACTGTATTCACTAATATATGAAATGTACGGCGACACATACAGATCATTTGTACTGTTCTTTAGTGAACACTAACATTTTCTGAAGCATATGGTCTTTAGGTTTCGTGATTTTTAATTAAGAAGACATACGCAGCTTATGATGATATTAACTTTGATATTTAGGCTTTTTAAACGTAATTCATTTCTTAAGTTTTTCCTTTCAACATTTCTCAGTTTTTGAAAAGTATTTTGAACAGTTAACCTCTATGTTGTTAATTTACAGATGAAGTATCAAATAGACTTAATGGTAACCTTGAGAGAACAAGATCTAAATTTTCTTAATTCGGCTACCGGAAAAGATGAATTCGTACGTGAAGAACTGGTTACAGATATAAAAACACTAAATGCACGCATAAAGTCAATGAAGAACACTTCTAAAAACAAGCGAACTATGTTAGTTAAATGTTTACTGTGTAATGTGTAATTAATCTAAAAATTGGCGTATATTTTACGAACTTACATTTGTAGCAGTTCACTAATATATTTAGTTAGTATTTTCGATTTTATTCCAAGAGATTCGAAGATCATAAAGGAAAGGAAAGGTAGTAGCACCGTAATCTTATATACCACTTGATGATTACCTACACTTCTAATGCAGAGCTGTTTCCATGGTAAACTCACTCGTTTATGTCTTTCACTTGCATCTTATAATGACCACAAGTAAGGTCCTCTGGGATAGTTTTAAAAAGCTTCACATGTGATTTGAATACAGAGATCTAGTAGCTACGTCATGAAAACCTAATCATCAAGAAAAGTAGATCGTGTTCTTTGACAGGGTAAATTTGCTGGCTGTTTGGAATGTTTATTTCATATTGCTTTGTTAGTCACTAGGATTGAAAATTCCAGCCATTTACATGATGATGTGGCATACGCGATTATTTGTCAACTCGTCGGATATTTATTCACTGATGGAAGTGACATTTTAAGGGTAATCAAATCTTGATACCTATTCTGATTTAGTTATTATGCAACCATTATGGTTTATAATTCGTTGCCAGGTAAAGCCAGAAATACATGGTAATTAACAGTTATATATATATATATATATGGACGACGACCATTCAATCTACCCACTTGTCGATAGACAGTCGGATGACTCGACAGTATGTAGTCTAGTTTGATAAATATTTTGTGAACGTTCTTTATCCATGCTGAAGATAGTTGTTAATGGAAAAGTTGGCGTCGTACAAATACACTACTGAGTACCTACAGGAAAAATTGACAAATACTACTAACCTAAGGGAGGTTTGCTTTTGACTCGCCTTACGTTTTCTCTTGGAAAGCTACGGTCACTGAAGAGAGGCTCATTCGTTCGATAGGGAATCTCACTATTGATAGCAAAATCCAATCTCTGAAAGCACTTAACTTGTACATGTTTCTCATAAAGCCTACTCCTTATCAAAATCGAAAATGAGCATGCATAGGATTTCTGGTCATTCAAGGGAAATGTCCTATTTTGTTAAATCGCTCTGTCAAGTCGATTTTTCCTTTTAAACTGAGTCTTGATGTCTGCTATCGTTTTAATCTTACAACGTTTGAAATGTCCACTACTAATTTTAACAGGTATTGTCGGGACTGGTACACTCAAAAACTTGGAAAAATAAGTCTAAATTCATCCTATGCTATATTGAGGTTCAATGTTAATGATACTCAAACAGCTAAGAGTTTAGTCGAAAAACCTTTGCTTCGTGGTCTTTTAGAACATGGGATTTTTGGAACTGTTTCTCTGTCTAATATGAGAGTAAGTTGAAATTTTTATCCAGTTATCAGTAACTGTCCACTAGAATCCATGTTTTATGCGAAACAGATTTGTGTGATTGGTTGTATGCTACACGTATATTATGTAACAGTGATGTTAAAGTTTGATCATTTTTTCGACTAACTAAGCCTACAGAATAAGTCGGTTTATTAAAAAACTTACTCTTTCGTTTAATGACTTCTACTTTTGAAATCATTTTGGAATTTTTTATGGCATTTCTTATTGAAGGGTTTTAAACAGTGCATTCTAAGTTTAAAATGACTGATTTGTAGTGTCGAGTGAATCGTCTTTATCATGTAGGCTCTATGCACAAAGTCTCACGCACTAATTTGTAGGTCTTATCAAATTATGCATCTTTTAAATAATAGTATGAAAAATAATTATTCGAATAATTCACAAATCCGTTATGAATACTGGTAGCTAATTGATGTTCTACTTCCTGCAAATACGTATACAATTATATATGAGAGGCAACAAGATATGTAGTTACCTTCTAAGCAGCGCCGCATATTTTGAAAATTGATGGTTGTGCACTTAAATTCACTCAGAATGACATGGCTAAAAATCGTTTGCAATGGCGCAGGTGCATCTACTCTTTGTGTTCTCTCAAATGCTAATCTTCTGGATTCTTCAACACCTTTACCTTTATCTTTCTAAACTTATCTCACTGAATTATACTTCTTGAATAATATCTTCGAACCCTAGTCTTCTTCATTACCATTAATACCTCTACTATCTCTATCACTAAGGGATATGATTTGATATTCGCGTCTGTGTGTTAATGTGCTATGGCAAAATGAACTTATGTACATACGTACGAAGTTCTACGTTGAAACTGACTGACTGACTCAGGAACAACTAGAAAATCAGTTAGGCGACCACGCAAGTGATTCCCATCCGGAGGGAGGTTGGAATGATATCAAAAAGGCTGTGGAAACAACAGTGATATCTGCTAGTATGGTAAACTATAAGGTTTGGGAGAAGCCGTGGATCTCAGTAGCATCCACCGAAGTGATGGAAGCTGACTGAGTAGTTAGCCTGTATGAGGTTAATGTTCTTCTTTGGTACACCTTTTAATGACAGACACTGCCACAGAACCTCACGATCAACAGAATAGAATGCGGCTTCAAGGTCGAGAAATACTACGATTGTGGAGCGTCTGAATGTGTGTCCATGTCCCAAGACCTGACGTAGTGTGAATATCTCTCCGCCGTTCTAGATTTCCCATAGCTTTCTCAACTGCATAAATAGTGGGACAACCTACGTCGATTTGCCATTCAGGTTGACGGGAGTTCGTGGGTAACCGAAATGTGGCTGAAGGCCAGTTGAACTGATCCTTAAAGTGTTCTGTCAATCGATCCAATCTTCTGGAGTGAGAATGAATGAGACCGTCCATTTCCGAAAGTCTCACTCACATTCGGATTCCTAATACCGGTTTCCTTGGTTAGTCTGAATGGTTGTCTATCGCTGCTGCCTTTTCCATCTCTCGCTTTCGATACTCGACCCTGTTCGCGATCATAGCGTAGGCTTTTTATCAGCCTGCGCCTAAACTGACTCCGATTTTCATGGTACTTAGAGCCAGGCGGGATTAGTTTTCGAGTATCCATCAGTTCGATAGATGCTACTGAAACCCACCGCTTCTCTCCAACCTTGTGGTTGACCACAATAGTAGGTATCACTGCTGTTTCCAAAGCACTTTTGATATCGTTCCAAGCTGTCTCTCCGGATAGGACTCACTTACATGGCGGCATAGCTGTTTTTCCGGTTGCTCGTGAAATATATTCTTAGCTGTGCTATCAATAGGTAGAACCCTAAAAGGTTTCCTTGCGGTGTCTTTCCTACGTCCAGTAAGCCTCAAACAAATACGCACTGGCACTACAGCATGGTCCTAAACTAAATAAGTGCTTCAGAATGAGCTGCAGTCTTCAATAGAGCCTCTCCACTGATGGCTGATAGAGATTCGATCTAGTTGGGTCCAGCATTGGTACGGCTTTGGGGGCCACCAGGTCAAGAGATGTTTTTCCTTATTCTTAAAGTTAGTGTTTGCTGGAAATAGGCAATTATGTGAGCATAGATGCAGCAAACAATGCCATTATTTGTTCTTTGAGTCACGACACCATAAGATCCACCCTAGAGTTTTTCTTTTTCACTTAATCTACCTACTTGAACATTAAAGTCACCAGCCATTACTTTATCAACCCCATGCCCAACTCTTCTCTATTATCCGGCCTTGGGACCGGCAGTAGCCCCGGAAGGTTACAGGCGGAGTTAACTAATATTTCTAGCATTTATCTTCATTTTTTGTTGATTTAACTGAAGTTGTTGTCATACTCTTATAATCATGAGGTAGTAGCATTTAAAACATTTCGACCCCTTATCATTGAGGTGAAATATTCCGTAAATATAACGTGAAACCATTTACTAGTGTATTACATACTATTACAAAGTTATACAAATCCAAAGAATGTGTATCTCCGTAATACAGAAGTTTCTAAGCTGCCTTTATTTCATTTTCCATGTTAGCTATGTATTGTATGGTGCTTAGAATATTTGGCTTTAAACTTCTGTTGATACGCTCATCAGAAACCAGCTTTCATCTTAGAAGTAATGGTATAGTTACGAGACAGGTGAAATTAATATTAGCTGTTTCTTCATGTTACGGTTATTGTCTTCTGAAATTTATCTTTATAGTTTGATCAGTCAGTTTGACATATTCAGCGTAGGACCCTGTGTATATGTAACTAGGTCTTGATTTTCGCACTCCTAGCTTTCTTACCGAAATTCAGGCGTAGTAATCGTGGCGGCGACTTATATTTTCAAGTAGGACAGTTAAGCCAAAAGAAATACGTGAGTGGATCTTATGATGTCGTGGCTTAAAGAACAAATTATGGCGACCGTCCTCTGCAATTATGTTCAAATGATCTATTTCTCGCAAATATTAACTGTAAGAAAACCTTTTGACGTGGCGATCCTCAAAGTCGATTCAACGCTGGACAAAACTAGACCACATCTCTATGAGCCACTGATAGAAAAGGCAGTGGCAATAGATAAAATTAGACAGCTATTCAGACTTATCAAGGAAACCGGTATTAGGAATCCGAATGTCAGTGAGACTGTCTCGGAAAAAGGTGGTCACATAATTCATTCTCAAACCGCGACATTGGAAAGATGAGCAGAACACAAAGAAAAAGTTCAACAGGCTTTCAGCGACACTGATTACCCACGATCTCCGATTAAGCAGAATGACAAAGTGGTGTGAATCCTACTACTCTTAATGGGGTTAAAAAGGCTAAAGGGAATTTAAGACGAAAGAAAACAGCAGTCTCATGACGAAAACCGAGTTCCTTCGGTAGTCACGAGGTCGATGCCCCTTCTGACAACCACAGCAACCACTCTATATGCCTTCAACAAACTGGTCATCGGCGGCACAATATTCCCACACAAACACATGCAGAAAGCTACGTAGATTTTACCGGATCACACTACTCAGAACCAAATCGACCATACATGTATCAATAAAATATTCAGAGAGACCATGGAGGACGAGGGAATCAAGCGAGGCGATGATATAGGCTCAGATCACCACTCACTGGTCGCTAAAATGAGACTGAAACTCAAGAAGCACAAGCTGAATACACAGAAGCAAACAAGTGAAGAGGAGCACTATAGCCTACAAATAAAAATAAATGGATTATATAACGATGACTGCGGAAAAGGCTTCAAGAGAAGGAAGCCTAAGAAAACTCCGCATGAAGCCAATTTTGGGCGACAGCCGGTCCCAAGCTCCATTCCGTAGAATAGTAACTCGCTAAAAAAGAGCTAACCAGAAAAATCAGTCTGAACCATTCAACAAACTGGCCATCGGCGGCACAATATTCCCACACAAACCCATCCACAAAGCTACAAGGTTGCAAGAGAATGAAACTTGAGACAATTATACACTACAACAAAGAAGCTCGCTGGAAACTATCGTACAGAAGGACGGCCAGTGAAAATCAAGCAAGGCAAAGTAATCACCGACACTGAAGAACAGAGAGACAGATGTGTAGAGCTTCTCGAAGAACTCTGGAATCGACCAGCCCCAATGAACCCACCCAACATCGAAGCAGCATCCACGGACCTTCCAATCAATGTTGACACACCAACAATTGAAGAGATCAGTATGGCCATTAGACAAATCAACAGCGGCAAAGCAACAGGGCCAGACAACATTCCAGCAGAGGCAATGAAAGCAGACGTGGTGGCAACTGCAAAAATACTCCACATTCTTCTCAACAAGATATGTGATGAAGAACAAGTACCAACAGAGTAGAAAGAAGGGCGACGCATCAAAATACCAAACAAAGGCGATCTCAGCGAGTGTGGGTCATCACTCTTCTTTATTTCTATACCAGTAAATGTCTTTAACATTGTGTTATTAAACAGACTGAAGGACTTTGTAGATGCCCAACTTCGAGATCAACAGGCTGCATTTCGTAGGGATCGATCGTTTACCGACCTCACTGCAACATTACGGATCAATGTGGAACAATCAATTGAATAGAACTCACTACTCTACATCAACCTCATTGACTAAGAGAGAGCACTTGATAGCGTGGAAAGGACAACACTATGGAGTACCTGAGAAGACAGTCAACATCATACGGAATTCTCACGACTGATAAAAACTGCGAAATCGTGCACGGAGGACAGCTCACAGACTCATTCGAGGTGGAGACTGGTGTTAGACACGGTTGCTTACTCTCACCCTTTCTTTTTCTCCTGCTTATCGACTGGATTATGAAGACGTCGACACCTGATGAGGGAAGCACAGGATACAGTGGACAACTAGGATGCAGCTGGACGATCTGGACTTCGCAGAATGTCTGGCTCTTGTTTCGCACACGCAACAACAAATGCAAGAGAAGACGACCAGTGTGGCAGCAGGTCTCAACATGCACAAGGGGAAAAGTAGGATACAATACAACATGTGCCAACCAAATATATCACTTGATGGTAAGGCTCTGGAAACCCTTGCATACTTGGAAAGCATCGTTGACGAGCATAGTGGATCTGATGCAGATGTGATGGTGCAGATCGGACAGGCAAGGGCTTCATTTCTACAACTGAACAACGTCTGGGACTCTATCAGCTAAGGCTAGATTCCCAATTTTCAATACGAACGTAAAAGCTGTCCTATAATATAGAGCAGAAACCTGGAGAAACGCAAACGCCGCTAACCAGACGATACTGATGTTTATTAACAGCTGTCTACGCAAAATACTTCGGATTTGTTGGTCAGACACTATCACTAACAACCTACTGTGGGATAGAACAAACCAGCCTCTAATGGAAGCAGAAGTTAAGATAAAGCGCCGGAGGTGGATAAGACACACATTATGGAAATCTCCAAGCTGTGTCATAAGGTAACCCCCAACTTGGAATACTCAAAATCAAAAGAAAAGAAGTAAGCCGACGGACACAATGGGCCCAGAATTGGAGACACATGAGAAGAGTGAACAGAAGTAGAAAAAAGGCCCAGGATAGAGTTGGTTAGAGAACGCCGATTAGCAGGCTATGCTCCATTGAGGTAACAGGCGCAATGAAAATTACTAGGTATTGATTATAATTTTCCAGTTACAATTACGTCTGAGCATTGGGTTTTGGTAACATTCTCAGTCTACACTTCTCTATTTAGTCGGACTGCGCATAAGCGACTGTCCATTGGAACCTAGTCTTCGATATTTTTTCTGTTTTTAAACTTAAACTTCATATACGCCAGCGACGTTATGAGATGTCGCAGTGACGTCCCGAAAGAGATAGACGCTAATTTTCTCCGGTTCACTATACCACTTGGTGAGTTCAAGTGGATGATCGCACTCAGTTTCTGTTCGCGTATTTCGGAGACAAAGGATACACTAGTGCGAAGAGATTACTCGATAATTTAACAAAACAAACTTTATAAAGTAATGTCGTGAGAAGTCAATTAGAGCGGAAGTTATGGTCAGTCTTAGTGCACTTACTTACTTACGCCTGTTACCCCCAATGGAGCATAGGCCGCCCACCAGTTTTCTCCAACCAACTCTGTCCTGGGCTTCTTTCTCCAGTTCTGTCCAATGTTTGTTCATTCCTCTCATATCTTTCTCTATTTCTCGGCGTAATGTATTCTTTGGCCTTCCTCTTTTCCTTTTGCCTCGAGGGTTTCATGTGAGGGCTTGTCTCGTGACGCAGTTACGTGCTTTTCGTAGAGTGTGTCCTATCCACTTCCACCGCTTCTTCCTGATTTCCTCCTCCACTGGAATCTGGTTTGTTCTCTCCCACAGTTCGTTGTTGCTGGTCGTGTCTGGCCAACGAATCTGAAGTATTTTGCGTAGACAGCTGTTAATAAACACTTGTATCCTCTGGATGATGGCTTTGGTAGTTGTCCATGTTTCCGCTCCATACAGTAAAACTGTCTTCACATTTGTATTGAAAATCCTTATTTTGGTTTTGGTTGAAAGTTGTTTGGATTTCCAGATCTTTTTCAACTGTAGAAATGCAGCCCTCGCTTTGCCAATCCGTGCCATCACATCTGCATCAGATCCACCTTGGTTGTCGATGATGCTGCCCAGATATGTAAAGGTGTTAACGTCTTCCAAGGCATCCCCATCAAGAGTGATTTGATTGGTGCATGTTGTGTTGTATCGGAGAATTTTGCTTTTTCCTTTATGTATGTTGAGACCTACTGCTGCAGAGGCTGCTGCTACACTGGTCGTCTTCCCTTGCATTTGTTGTTGAGTGTGCGATAGAAGAGCCAGGTCATCTGAGAAGTCCAGATCGTCCAGCTGCGTCCTAATTGTCCAGTTGATACCGTGCTTCCCTCCAGATGTTGACGTTTTCATAATCCAGTCGATCACCAGGAGAAAGAGAAAGGGTGAGAGTAAGCAACCTTGCCTGACACCGGTCTTCACCTCGAAAGTCTGTTAGCTGTCCTTCGTGTACGATTTTGCAGTTGAATCCAACATCAGAATTCCGTATGATGTTAACTATTTTCTCAGGCACACCGTAGTGTCGAAGAAGATTCCACAGTGTTTTCCTGTCCACGCTATCGAATGCTTTCTTGTAGTCGATGAAGTTGATGTAGAGTGGTGAGTTCCATTCTGTTGATTGTTCCACAATGATCCGTAATGTAGCAATTTGGTCAGTACACGATCGATCCTTACAAAATCCGGCCTGTTGATCTCGAAGTTGGGCGTCTACGAAGTCCCTCATTCTGTTTAACAATACCCTGTTGAAGACTTTGCCTGGTATTGAAAGAAGAGTGATGCCTCTGTAGTTCTCACACTTGCTGAGATCGCCTTTCTTTGGTATTTTGATCAGGTATCCTTCTTTCCAATCTGATGGTACTTGTTCCTCATCCCAAATCTTCTTGAAGAGGATGTGAAATATTTTCGCAGTTGCTTCTTTATCTGCTTTCATTGCCTCTGCTGGAATGTTGTCTGGTCCTGCTGCTTTGCCGCTGTTGATTTGTCTGATGGCCATACTGATTTCTTCTATTGTAGGTGAGCCAATATTAATTGGGAGGTCCGTAGATGCTGCTTCGATGTTGGGTGGGCTCAGTGGAACTGGTCGAATCAAGAGTTCCTTAAAGTGCTCTACCACATATTTTTGTTTGTCAGCTCTGATGCTCTTCTTCACTTCCCTGTTTGCTTCTGTGCATGCAGCCTGTGCGGCAACTTTCTCTGCTCTTGTTTGACTGACGTTGGTTACTGCCTTCTTGTTCCTCCTTTCTTCAATTTTTTCAAGAGTACCAACAGTCATCCATTCCTTGTGATGGTACTTCTTGTGACCCAGAACTTCGTGACATGTTGAAGTGATTGCCTCCTTAATCCCTTTCCAATTGTTCCCCCATCTTGTGTCCTCTCCATCGAGTAGATCCTGAAAGGCCTGGAACCTATTGGTGAGGGCTATCTTGAATTCGTTGAGCTTTACAATATCCCGAAGAAAGGCCGTATTAAACTTGTGTGATGTTGTCTGTCCCGTTGTCCAGTGCTTCTTTAGTTTCCGTTTCATTTTGGCGACCAGCAAATGGTCATCTGAAGCTATGTCAGCTCTTCTCTTGGTTCTCACATCCTCAACGGTCCTTCTGAGCGTTTTGTTAATACGGATATTGTTGATTCGGTTCTGAGTAGTGTGATCCGGTGAAATCCATGTGGCTTTGTGTATGCGCTTGTGTGGGAATATTGTGCGACCGATGACCAGTCAGTTGAAGGCACATAGGTTTGCAAATCTCTCACCGTTTTCGTTTCTTTCTCCCAGTCCATGACGTCTTCATATCTAGTGTTGTCCATTCCAACCTTGGCATTGAGGTCTCCATAAGAATCGTCAAATCCTTTGGTGAACATATCTCGACGATTGACTGCAGCCTTTCGTAGAATTGATCTTTAACGTCGTCATTGTAGTCATTGGTAGGTGCATGACATTGGATGACGTTCATTGTAATGTCCTGTTTCTTTGTTTTGAAGGATGCTTTAATGATCCTGGGTCCATGAGATTCCCATCCTATCAGTGCCTTTTGTGCATGTTTGGACAGCATCAGTGCAACTCCTTGTGTACGTGAAGCACTTTCCTCTTCATAACCAGAGTATAACAGCAGTTCCCCTGAAGCAAGTCTCAGTTGTCCTATCTGTGTTCAATGCGTTTCACTGATGCCGAGCTCCTGGAGGTTGTATCTTTTCATTTCTGCCGAAACTTGAAATAGTCTTCCAGTCTCCCACAATGTACGAACGTTCCATGTACCTAAAAAAATGGTTGCTCTGGTTGTCAGAAGAGGCATCGGCCCCGTGACTTCCGAGGGAACTCGGCTTTCATCACGTGACGTCATAATTCTTCCTCCAACTCCCAGGGCAGAGTTAAAATGGTTTGAATTATTTTTTCTGGTTAGCGTTTTTTTGGCAAGTTAGATTTCGACGGAATGGGGCCGCCAACCCCATGTCCAACCCTCCTCCTGTACCCGGGCTTGGGACCGGCAGTAGCCACGAAGGTTCTACTGGCGGAGTTAGTTTACGATATAGTTTTCCTATTTTACCGATTAAATCTGTAATTTGAGATAAATACAATTCGGTTGCCCTCACCTGTGTTCTCTTTCACTACAAAATTATCTTTTTGCTCAAATGATGGGCGGGAAATACTTCCAAATGATTCCTCTCAATTTCCCTTGATCATGCTTATTATCTTGTTAATATCTTGTTTCTTAGCATCTTCATTTACTTACGCTTTCCTCTGGTTAGTAGTTTTATCTCATGTAAAGGTGCAAATCACTAACCCAGTCTCGTGAGCTGTTTGTCAGCCACATCGTACAACTATGTTTTTCTATCGATCTGTATACTTTCATTCATTTTTAAAATCCGAAGCTCGTTCATCAAGTTAGAAGAACCCCGTGAGTTTCACATAGAATTTCTAATAACTTATTTGCAGTATGGATTATTGACTAGAATTTTATTAAACACAATCAATTGTTAGGTGAATAGAAATAATTTACTATCCAAGTTCCATATCAAATTTTCATATTAGGACTTTTTGTTTTAATTGCTGTTTTCTCACATTCAGGTTATTGGCTGTCACAATACCATAATCAGTTTATCTGAACGTCTTACATCAGCCCTCACTCCAAGTACGATCGTAGCATGCATTCGGCAACAGCTGCGTGTGGATTTAGCTTTGACAGAGAACATAAAACGACTAAGTTCAATGTATCCACTTGATTGGGATCCAACCGCACGTAATCTTCATCTGTTAGCAGGTCAAGGTGGTATGGCGACAGCTACTATACACATAGCTCCGAACGGTTCAATTAGTCTTGTGAAAATTACAAAATCATCTAATCCAGATCACCCCGAACCGCATTTAACAGAACCATGTAATTTCGTACCACCGATTTCTTGGTCCTTAGATGAATGGTTGATGGAAATCAATGACCTTTGTAATTCGGTCGTACCAACAACCTAACTGACTGTTATCAATCTACTAACATGATTTCACTTTAGTTTCTAAATGTTTTTCACAGATTTTTTACCAGGCATTACCTTTCGTTTTTTTCAACTGTCAGTTTGTTTATTACTTTAATGCTTTAAATAAGGGCATGTACTTGAATCTATAAACACATAATTCACTTCGCATGTAAATATGCTTTGCTGCGAATGTTTGTAGCTAAATTATGATCTCTTGTATTAGGAACATCCAACGAGAAATTAGTATTTACTGTCTTTTTTAGCATTTGTAGGTGTCGGCTATATTTCTAATGCCTCAGCAAGTCAAGTGCTGATTCGAATAACGCTTCATTTTAGAGATCTGGTCACATAGTTCTCCTGTATGTAGTAACATATTGTACTTAGTTAAACTTGTCTTATCACGGGAGCTCATTCTGAACTACTTTACGTGGTTCCTGATTACTGATAATGACTAGATTTTCTGGTAGTTCAGGGTAGTATCATAAAATCATTTTCGCACATCCAAAAAGTCTTGTAGACATGCGTCTTTATAAACAAAATGCTTGATGAGAAGAATACTATCTTACGATTTTTGATAATATACTGCAAACTTATATGCATGTTATGCTATCATAAAGGAAACTTCTGATAAGTTAGTTGTTGCGTGGGTTGACTTGATTGTACTTTCTGAGTAATGGAATATGTCAAACCCGTGACGGATGGTAGTAGACTAATAGACCACCATATTGCTTATTAGGATAAAAAATGACAAGACACAAACCATCTGAGAAAGATATGAATATTCAGTAGAAAATATTGTAAACTTAAAAATATTTCTAAAATACAAAGAAGTGACACTTATTACGGTCAGTTTACGATGAGAAGAACAAAACCCCGTTTTAAGAACCAATTAATGCATTAAGAAAAGGACTAGCTCTTCCCATTCAGTAGAGTTCTCGTACAAACGATGTTTGGTATCTTACTTCCCGTCAAGTAGCACGTGTGTTCTCATAAAGCTGTACATGTAGAGCTTTGTGCTTGGCTGTCGCATGCGAAAACTCCACCTACAATGGCGGGTAACAATTAGTATACGTGCGATCCAGGACTATGAAGCGATGAGTGACGTTTAAACGGATCTGCCTTCGGGAACTATAGAGTTTTTATATCCTTTCGTAGATTGTACATTCCGGTTAAAGGTTTATAAAAGGAAACTGGAAATACCTGCCTCAATTGTATTTTAAGGATGAAGGGAGCATTCTGATCAGGGAGTTAACCGAATCAATTAAGAGAATTCTCTACTTCATAGATTATACATAAGTTAGTCGGGATGAAAGTTTATATTGCGACTTTATTAGTTATAAGACATCACATTTCACATACGTTTTGCTCAGATAATATAGATCTGATGTTTAAAATCTCTGTTGGTGGTGACTCAGGTTGATAGTTTACCTGGTGATGAGACCACTACGCACACGGCCCCGTAGCAAAAAAGAAAATTCTTTGTGAAGTGTTTGAGCTACTTTTACAGCTTCTGTTATGAGTGGTTGTAATCTCTCAACAGGTAACCAGGAAGAAAGACGTGTATGGAGGATTTGAGGCTGACTTTTTGACTGGTCTGTTTGCACTTCTGTATTAACGTCAGAAAGCTGATGAAGATTTGGAAGACATACAACAGTTAACTGTGATAAACGTGGATTCTCCTCAAAACGACAGAGATCAGCAAACACATGTGAACCCCACAAACCTATTATAAGCGTAGCAAAAAAATACGTATCAATGGAAAAGTTATGGGTTAATTAGATATAAATGAACAAATAGTCACGAACTATATACGTTCTGTTACAGAAATAATCACATATTTCCAAAATACTATTCAGTAGAAAATCGATTTGACGTTTCGTTACTTTGTGTTAGTCACATAAATTTAGATACCACAGAGCAGAATATTTAAGTACAGTCAAGACCCAAACAGGTCTGACCATGTTAATGTCGTGAAAGTTCTGTCAAGGTGATTATCTGTGAAACCTATTTGTGTGTAATCAAGAGGGTGTTGAGAATGTGATGTAATGTGGAGAAAAAGGGTTAAACGAATTCACATGTTTGTTAGCGGTGTTTAATATAAACAGAATTAATGTGTGAATATTGACATGAAATTGTCTATGGCGATCTCACTCGACGTGCATCACGAATCTTTCCACAAGATTGCTTCATATAAGCAAAATCGTGTTAAAATTCCGTAAATGTATTTGTAGTCTCATAAAACTTTCAATCTCTGCTGAATTACAGATTACCACTTTCAACCTATTCAGTGAGAGGAATTTATTACTTCAAGTTCAAACAAATCAACAAATATGAAAAGACCAAAAAAGAGCGGAAGTGAAAACACAGGAACCACAAAAATTAATACGAAGTCACTTTAAAATTACCTGCACAGTAACATTAAAGATTCCTATGAATTCCAATCAAAAATTTTGGATCTGACCAGCAAAGAAAACGAAACAGTGTTAAACTAAGGATGTTGTATCTTTTTGTATTCATAATAATAAATGTTTAGACTTCATCAATGAATTACTCCAAAATAATGTTGTTTTATCCAGCAGGTCTCCAATAAGCAGTAGTCTAATAATGGAACCCCTTAAACTGTGACTGTATACGAACAAGCAGACGGAGTTGTCTTAAGAACTCTGCCGCTAAATTGTTTGTGTCCCTTATAGAATAGCATATTTTCACCAGTGTTTTCAGACCATTCGCTTGTGACAGATATGAAGACAACACATTCGTATTTGTAAAAAAGATTTTAAGAAACATTTTCAAATTCACTAATGCTCTCAGCTCACATGTAATTTACTTTCGAAACTTAGTGGATCGAGAGGTTCTGTGGCAGTTTCTGTCATTGAAAGGTGTACAAAAGAAGTACATTAACCTTATACAAGCACTCTACTCGAACACTACTGGTCGGGTGAGAGCATATGGCGAACTGTCATCTGAATTCTCTACATCAAGTGGTGTCCGTCAGGGCTATCCACTCTCTCCATTCTTGTTTAACTTTGTCGTAGACATCCTCTTAGAGCTCGTCAGATTTTTCAGGGGTTGAATTTCTACCAGGAAATTCGCTTACTGATCTAGAATATGCCGATGACATAGTTCTATTCGGTGAAGACGCTGACAAAATGCAGAGTCTTCTGACTACACTAAGCAACAATGCAAGCATGTTCGGGATGCGGTTTTCCCCCTCGAAACGCAAAATGTTGCTTCAAAACTGGGTTGAATCGGCACCTGAACTAGTGATATGGAGTGAAGTAGTCGAGCGAGTAGACCGCTTCACTTATCTTGGGAGTCTCATCATCGCTGATAGCCTGGTGACTGACGAAATCTCAGCTCGGATACAGAAAGCTCGATTGGCTTTTGCCAACCTGCGTCACTTATGGTGTAGGCGAGATATCCGTTTGCTGACTAAAGGACGAGTGTACTGCGCAGCAGTTCGCTCCGTTCTCCTATATGGATGCGAAACATGGCCGTTGAGAGTAGAAGATGTTTGTAGGTTACTAGTATTCGATCATAGATGTTTAAGAAGCATTGCTCGTATATTGTGGGACAACCGAGTAAGCAGTGCTGTCGTTAGGAAACGAGTACTAGGTAAGGATGGCAGATCAATAGATGAAGTATTGAAACTTCACCAGTTGAGGTGGTTGGGACATGTGTTACGTATGGCTAACCACCGACTGCCTCGATGAGTTATGTTTTGTGGTGTAGGAGTAGGTTGTAAGAAAGCTAAGGGCGGCCAGAAATCCATGAAGTCCCTGACAAGTGGACTGAGTCATGTTAGTAGATGTAGACTACCTGGTTGGGGTCCGCGAGATGAAAGTCACCAATGGTTAGAGACCTTGAGCGACATGGCTCAAAATCGTTTGCAATGGCGCAAGTGCATCCATTCGTTGAGCTCTCTCAAATCCTAATCTTCTGGAATCATCAGCACCTCTGCCTTTGTCTTTCTAACCTTATCTCACTGAACTATACTTCTTGAATAATATCTTCGAACCCTAGTCTTCTTCATTACCATTAATACCTCTACTATCTCTATCACTAAGGGATTTGATTTGATATTTGCGTTTGTGTGTTAATGTGGTATGGCAACATGAACTTATGTACATACGTACGAAGTTCTACGTTGCAACTGACTGACTGACATGACACACTGAGACAGATATATCAATTCTTAAATGAGAGCATCTATTTGCCGCAAAAATTTCACTGGGTCTAAATTTATTCGGATGAGCATTAAAACTGTTATGTCAGACGAAGATAAAAAACAATAAAAAAATGTAGTTGATGTCTTTTAATTTAGTAAATTCCTTATGAATATTGTTAGAAAAATATACTAAAACGAAACATTCCTTTGCTGAGTAAAATTAAATAGTTCTACCATATTGCCAAGGCACAACAGAACTAAAAGGAATCCTTAAGTTACGTAGAACTAGGACATTCTATATAACAGCTAGGACGCTTTAAACTTTCTTTAGATCTCCTTCAATTTAAGAGAATCACATCTACGTATCAAGAAGTGTAGATGCTTTTCATGTTTGGGTATCTCAAAAGATCAACTCAGCAAAGAACATCTATGCTACAAGAATTGGCCTCTACATAACTCTATCGAAAAAGAAAATCTACAGATCAAGAGAGGAGCTGAAATATGTTTAACAATTATTGATTCGATATTATTAATATAAAAACAATCCAAAAAGGTTTTCCTATTATGAGGAAAGTAGAGTAGCTGAGGCCATTTATATTTCACTCAACATTATAGCACATAACAGGAAGGTCTAAAAATTCATTTAAGATAGATTATTTATACAACTCTCCTGAAGCCAATTTTGGGTGGCTGCCGGCCCCAAGCTCAGAGAGAAGAGGGTTGGGCATGAGGTTGGCGACTCCATTCCATAGAATAGTAACTCGCTAAAAAAGAGCTAACCAGAAAAATCAGTCTGAACCATTCAACAAACTGGCCATCGGCGGCACAATATTCCCACACAAACCCATCCACAAAGCTACAAGGTTGCAAGAGAATGAAACTTGAGACAATTATACACTACAACAAAGAAGCTCGCTGGAAACTATCGTAAAGAAGGACGACCAGTGGAAATCAAGCAAGGCAAAGTAATCACCAACATCAAAGAACAGAGAGACAGATGTGTAGAGCTTCTCGAAGAACTCTGGAACCGACCAGCCCCAATGAACCCACCCAACATCGAAGCAGCATCCACGGACCTTCCAATCAATGTTGACCCACCAACAATTGAAGAGATCAGTATGGCCATCAGACAAATCAACAGCGGCAAAGCAACAGGGCCGGACAACATTCCAGCAGAGGCAATGAAAGCAGACGTGGTGGCAACTGCAAAAATACTCCACATTCTTCTCAACAAGATATGTGATGAAGAACAAGTACCAACAGACTGGAAAGAAGGATACCTGATCAAAATACCAAAGAAAGATGATCTCAGCAAGTGTTAGGACTACTTCATCATCATCACTCTTTTCTCAATACCAGGCAAAGTTTTCAACTGGGTGTTATTAAACAGACTGAAGGACTTTGTAGATGCCCAACTTCGAGATCAACAGGCTGCATTTCGTAGGGATCGATCGTTTACCGACCTCACTGCAACATTACGGATCACTGTGAAACAACCAATTGAATAGAACTCACTACTCTACATCAACCTCATTGACTAAGAGAGAGCACTTGATAGCGTGGAAAGGACAACACTATGGAGTACCTGAGAAGACAGTCAACATCATACGGAATTCTCACGACTGATAAAAACTGCGAAATCGTGCACGGAGGACAGCTCACAGACTCATTCGAGGTGGAGACTGGTGTTAGACACGGTTGCTTACTCTCACCCTTTCTTTTTCTCCTGCTTATCGACTGGATTATGAAGACGTCGACACCTGATGAGGGAAGCACAGGATACAGTGGACAACTAGGATGCAACTGGACGATCTGGACTTCGCAGAATGTCTGGCTCTTGTTTCGCACACGCAACAACAAATGCAAGAGAAGACGACCAGTGTGGCAGCAGGTCTCAACATGCACAAGGGGAAAAGTAGGATACAATACAACATGTGCCAACCAAATATATCACTTGATGGTGAGGCTCTGGAAACCCTTGCATACTTGGAAAGCATCGTTGACGAGCATAGTGGATCTGATGCAGATGTGATGGTGCAGATCGGACAGGCAAGGGCTTCATTTCTACAACTGAACAACGTCTGGGACTCTATCAGCTAAGGCTAGATTCCCAATTTTCAATACGAACGTAAAAGCTGTCCTATAATATAGAGCAGAAACCTGGAGAAACGCAAACGCCGCTAACCAGACGATACTGATGTTTATTAACAGCTGTCTACGCAAAATACTTCGGATTTGTTGGTCAGACACTATCACTAACAACCTACTGTGGGATAGAACAAACCAGCCTCTAATGGAAGCAGAAGTTAAGATAAAGCGCCGGAGGTGGATAAGACACACATTATGGAAATCTCCAAGCTGTGTCATAAGGTAACCCCCAACTTGGAATACTCAAAATCAAAAGAAAAGAAGTAAGCCGACGGACACAATGGGCCCAGAATTGGAGACACATGAGAAGAGTGAACAGAAGTAGAAAAAAGGCCCAGGATAGAGTTGGTTAGAGAACGCCGATTAGCAGGCTATGCTCTTTTGAGGATAACAGATGTAAGGAATTAAGTAAATTCCATAAGTTAGTAAGACCATACATGCAAATATCCACAAATTAATTCTCTTCATATTTAACACCACTAACAAACATGTGAATTCGTTTAATCCTTTTTCTCCACATTACATCACATTCTCAACACCCTCTTGATTACACACAAATAGGTTTCACAGATAATCACCTTGACAGAACTTTCACGACATTAACATGATCAGACCTGTTTGGGTCTTGACTGTACTTAAATATTCTGCTCTGTGGTATCTAAATTTATGTGACTAACATTAAGTGATGAAACGTCATAAACCCAATCTTCTGCCGATTGGGATTTCGAAAATTACACCATTGTAATATCATGAACAATTTAGCCAATCTCCAATTTATTTGAAATCATCAAGTTAAACCTAGGTATTGATAATGGTTCCTTCAGGTTCATCGATGCGAAAATCTCAACGTAAATTATTTGCTCCAACTACTTGATGTTTTGTTTTATATCTGACCAATGGAATAAGTAAAGTTTGTAGATGGAGACAAACATTTTGAAACCGAGTTTTCAGCTTAGAGCAAAAAGCCGCGCAAAACAGCAGAAAAACCTGTCTCACTGAAGAAACAAAATTTTAGGAAAGATCCTAGTGGAAGGTAGAAATAAATGCGGCAAAAGTATTAGTTCATGTTTCTTACAAATGCGTTAGTACGCTGAGAAAATACTTCTAATGAACTAGAAAAACATGAACATTGTGGTCAAGATAGATAGGAAGTGACAGCACAATAAACACCTTTAAGTGAGGCTGAAAAAGTTAGTTACAGCAGAGAAATGATAGGAGTCTTTAACTGTATAGTACATACAACTTAATGAAAGTTTTGCTGCTGATTAAACTGGTTATCCTCATTTCAGTCAGTCAGTCAGATGCAACGTAGAACTTCGTACGTAAGTACATCAGTTCATGTCGCCATACCACATCAGCAGAGAGATATAATTGTCAATTCAAATCCAATAGTAGAAGAGGTAGTAAAGGTATTAGAAGTAATCGGAGAGGTTAGGATGAGAAGATATTCAAGAAGTATGATTCAGTGAGAAAAGTTTAGAAAGTCAAAACTAGAGAGGATTTGAGAGAACACAAAGAATTAATGCACCGGCGCCATTGCGAGCGATTTTGAGCCATGTCATTCAAGGTCTCTAACCATCGATTATAATCATCACCTCATTTACACAAGCGCTGGTTTACTACAATAGTTAATGTGGTTAGAATTGATAAACATGGAAATTTTTCATGATTAAAAAATAAATTAATCCATGTATCGCGAAAGTGATACTGATAAGTGCATGTAATTAATCTAAATCTTCACCTACACTTAGTAAGAAAGGAGAGTGATCAGTTACATTCAGTAGTATCTAAATTACACCCCTTAACACCATAGATAGTTCGAATAAACTGATACAACATATGGTGTTTTTCTTTTATTCAAATATGTAATTTGTTTTGAAGGTGATAACACTAGTATGATTTACACGTTCAAAACAGCTACTGATTTCTGTTATAAGTCTGTATTTTCTGAAAAATTCATCTTGTGATAAAGGAGTTGATAAAGAACAGATTTAATTTAAGTTTCAAAATAACAAACAAGTAATATTACTCACCGACTGTAGCTGCACTGACGAGGTAATGCATTTCAATACCAGCATCTGTTAAGGCAAGTGTAGTCGCATTTACAGCACAAGCAAACTCGGAGCCATCCGACTGAATAATTTCAAGAAAAATATCTATTTGAGACATCGGATACTTTTCTGCTCTGATGACGCATGAAAATATCTCCTACAGATATGAGAAATAACAAGGTATCCTTCATAAAAGCTTGAATATCATAAAAAGATGTGAAATAAAAAGTCTGAAGTCTGGGATTCAAGAAAAAACCGTTAAATGCAACATATAGGTTAACTATGTATCAATTAGAAAAGTGGTAGTCTGAAGAAACCAACACAAGTTTGTTTCATATACATCCTGCATAAACTGGTCGTAGCTGCTACCTTGACGTGGTGATCGGGCTTGTTCATAGTGATGACTCAACCAAACCATATTAGCTGGGACATCTGTTTCTTTAGATCCTACCATACCAGGCAGGTTGCTTGGAGAACGGTAAGACAAAAAGCAGTAGACGAAATGTTTTTCATGGTCTTCTGAAACCTCGCTCAAAACGACATGTTCGGTCTTACATTATTTGGACTTTGTGCCGAATGGTAGAACAAGCTTCTTTAGCTAGGCTTTTAGAATCCCACACAACCGATCGACGCTGCGTCTCCAAGATGCATATGCAAGACGCGAGCAGAGCCGTTTGTTCCCACATTGTCAACATAAACAAACGGTGCGATTTACCCTTCAAGCTTTAGCGCATGTGCTAATGTTAATCATAATGTCATTGTTATGCCTTACGTTATCCATAACTTCGTTTGCATCTAACTGGACAGTAATATCAATAGACTAATGGAAAATCATACTTTGAAATACAAACTAGAGAAAACAAGATGTGCCGATACGTACAATGAATGGCCAAAGCTTCCACAAACCACGAATTATAACGAGCAGTAAGACCTCTTAAACTAGTTTTATTTATTTGTTAAAATGAAAACAGTTTACTTATATTCAACCAAAAGAACGAAATAACGACTAATACAATAAACCTCTACATCTACTAACAACGTATGCCAGTAAAAACTGAAAAAAAAGAATCCAAGATAAATTAAAAGATTCTCGTCACCTCAATGGCAGTAGCAAAATCATTCGCTGATCTATCGTTTGATGACAATTTGCGACGTTCCCCTGAAGTTGATGCGAAGGGGGGTTTGGTAAATTGGCATGTTATAGTCGCACCATCTGGAGAACCATCTCCTTTTTTTCGCGGAGCGTGGGGTCCAACAACGGATGCAATCACCTTGGTATTCCCTGAAGCCATTACATTTAAGGCTGACTAAATGGAGAACTAAGATTACCTTGATGCAAAAATACTATTCCGTCAGAATAGCCCGAGCCAAACTGACATTGAACTCGTCGAAGTTCATTTGGCCGGCGACCGTCAACTCTCCTACCATTATAAAATATTTCAGCCATTTCACGCTTCTTTCAAAATTTCGCCATCTCCTAAAGGTCACACCAACAAGTTTCAAGGTAACTGTCGGATAAGCCAGTTGTTTTCTTTGAGCTTTAGTCGACAATGAAATTTCTGACTTACTATCGAGAAATTCTAAAGTTATTTTCAGGAACTTCACCCGGTTACCAAGGTCAGCTTCGTGCTGTATGCACAAGCATTATGAAATGGGACTAGGATTTAAAGTTAGAAATTAGGATTATAAATTAATTTGGACATTTTATCACGATCTTGCACCAGACATGATATGCAAAGATTGTTTTGCCATATTACTGAATGAATTTCGTGCTGAGATCCATATGTGACAGACTTAAATGTGACTAGTATATCCATGAATTACAGTCTTGACACGAGTTTTTACCCATGAAACCTATTTAGCTGTATGGTTCATACTCGGTTCATACTTCTCGGTCTTCTTAAGGGTTTTAAATTGTCCTACAGCAAAATACATTACTAGGAGTTCGCTGCCGGAAGTAATATATGTCGATGCAATATCCTGCAAACGTCTGGAGACGAATGATAAAGGATGCTGAGTGTTGTTTGTCCGATATCGTAAGATTTCTTCCACTGCTGATCCGGATGTGTCTTTCACAGCACTCTTGATTGCTTTGAAGTCGAGTTATGTTAACGTAGTTGAATTAACGATATGATTCTTCATTAAGGAAAAATTCTTCGCAGCGTCGTCCAAGTTAGCAGTTTTCGCAGTTCCACGCAGCTGGACACACAATTCTGTATGAATCGTTTGTAGAGACTTATCAGTTCATTAAACGTGCATACCTGCTTGAATGTACTAACAAACGCTGCAGATTTTCTGGCGAAACAGTATCTTCAAAAATTTAAACTGATTCATGGTCTCCAGAAGAACGTGGCGACGAATCTGAATTACACAGAACATTGATTTCGACCTGCCTTGAAAGAAACCATTTCTCTGTCGATCTAAGCACACAAATAAACGACACGGCCACCACGGCTACAATGCATTATAGGATCAGTAACGACCGCAACAAAATTTCGCTGAAATCCAAATAGCAATCCAAAACTATGCCCTCCGGGAGGCCTGTAAAATTCTCACATCATGTAAACGACCAGAAAATTCTGCCGACGTGGGTCGGAACCAGATTGAGCGAAGGAACCATAAAGAACCTTGACGACCAAGTTCCAAACCATACGTATGCCAGATATATTCGGAACCGAATCATCGACTGAGTGCATTGACAAGACCATGGGTGAGCAAGCCAGCTTTCGCCAAGATTGACTGAATTCGACGGTACCAACAGGCGATGGTCGTAGACATGGGCTCAGGATATAAAAAATGGAAGAAAAAGAGAAAGGTGTAGCATGCATGTAGTATCAGGACAAAGTGCTGTACCGTATGGTTGTCGATTGAGGGATGTTAGTAGCCAAACAGTATAGGTAGACGTACGCGGTGACCGAAACACAAGAAAGAAGTCTCTATGTACCTCGTGGGCCTGCAATCCCATTCGAAGTCAAGGGCCACTTGGTGTGCTGAGCTGTACGTGAGAATGGGGTCCCTGATATATCTAGCGTGGGATCCGAAGTAGATGTTGAGATAATGCTAGTAGGTTTGACGTTTCTAGCATCGGGTCTGAGATTAGCAGGTCGGGCTCTGTCACCGATGCATGCTGGCTTATTATCCCGACGCGGCTGTCAATCAATCTGGAAGGTCTTTTCATGACGAGAGATCACGTGAATAGGTCCTTCGTAAGGCTGTTGCAAAGGTTTTCCTACCGAATCTACTCGTATAAAAACATGTTAACAGGTATAACTCCCGAAGCAGAGAGACCTGTTGATGCTGTATTCGAGTTGACACCGAAGGCAGTGTTTGCATGCATTCAGACATTCGTTGGATGTAGCCTGATTTATTAAATTTATTATCGCCGTTCATGGAGGGCCATACGTATCTCACAGCGATGAGACGTAACGTGGCCGCAATAACTGGATCAGACAATCTATGAAGGGTATCGAATACGAGATGACGATGAGCAGAAGGCACGATGGATCAGAGTAAACCAGTAGAGTTGTCACACAGGATAGTACCTGAGCTGGTAGCTAGGGGTACGTCCTGACACTAAAGGGATGTAGTTTGTTGTGCTTCATGTAAAAGAGGGATCATTTGCTTAGGCAGCAGCCATAGCAGGAAGATCGAGCACTGGTAAAGTAACTGCATTTACTTGAATACGTGGGAGAGCGTCGGCAACATTGTTCAACTCGCCTTTAATATGACGAAGGTCTGTCTTGAACTGAAATATATAATCCAAATATCTGTACTCTCGTGGTGAGTATCGGTCAGACTTGGTATGCAAAGCATACGTTAGAGGCTTATAGTCGGTGAAAAGGATAAAATTACGACCTTCTACTGAGTTCCGGAAATGTTCGACGGCACAGTAGGCTGCTAGCATTTCTCGATCAAAAGAGTTATATCTCATTTCAGTGGGAGTAAGGCGTCGTGAGAAAAATTCGAGAGGCTGCCAACTCCCAGAGATATTGTGTTGTAATACGGCTCCTATAGCGAAATCTGATGCGACAACCGCTAAGCTAAGCGTGGCTGATGAGTCAGGACGGGCGAGGAGTGCAGCTTGAGCTAAACCTTTTTTTAATTTCAGAAAATGCAGTACGCGTGGCATCGTTCAGTTCCAGCGTGCGTGGATTACCGCAAAGTAAGTCGGTTAATGGTTGTAACTGTTCTGCTGCGTGAGGAACGAAACTTCGGCAGAAGTTAACCAAAACGAGAAAAGCCTTCAGTTCCTTGAGTGAGGACGGTACACTGTACTTCATGATTACACGTACTTTGTCTTCTTAGGGTAGAATACCCTCACGCTTAATGATTTGACCCTAGAATTTTATTTCTGCCTTGCCCAGTTCATTCTTTTTGGGGTTCACAACTATATCATTATTCGAAAGGCGGTGGAATAGGAGTATAAGGTTTTGACAATATTTATCTCCGTTTGATGATGCAATTTGCAGGTCATCAATATAGACGTGGATAGCAGCAAAGTCTCGTTCTATGCTGTCGATGAACATTCGGAAAGTTTGGGCAGCATTCTATAATTAGAATTCTTAGGAACTCAAACAGATCGAAAGGAGTTGTAATATCAGTTTTCCCAACATACTCAAGAGCGACTGGGATCTGATGATGTGCTAGTACCAGTTCATTCTTGGAATAAATAGTCGTGCACTGGAGTGCATGTGAGGGATGCGATAGCTATCGAAACACGTGACTACTTTTATCGCTCTGTAGTCGCAAATAAAATACACCTGTAATGCGGTAGGCGTTTGTTAGAGCGTTAAAACCTTTGGATTTAATATTTGTAGAAGTATCGATTAACTGCACCCTATGTGAATCGAATAGCGATTCATAGAGCTATGGGAACATCAGCAGAGATGAATGTCCATAGATACTGTCGTCGATCATTTAGGTTGATTGTTAGCTGTTGTCAACCGTAGGTAGGAATGACTTAGGCTTTTCGAAACTTCGTAGTTTCAGACGTGTTGCTACCAGACGATACGACAGAAACTTGAGCACCAGTGTCTAATAGGTACCTAGCAATAGTACAATAGTCGCGCACGTAAAATAAGCTGCCAACCTGCGGTGAGAGGTCGGTGACTACGGCCTCATTGACGAGCCAGCTCGAAAGTTTTCCGTCTTGTATGGACGGGGGGTTCGGCGATAGCGAACACTGGACCTAAAGTTAAGGTAAAACAGCTTCCGAAACTGCCTTTTAAGGTAGCCTAGAAGATTTCTGCTTGAGGCTAAAGCTTACAGTATTGAGTGATCGTGATCTGGCTCGGGGGACGTGAGGTTCTGGAATAAAAGAACGGTCTCGAAAATCGAGACGGCTATGAATGCTGCAACTTCGACCTTCTTGAGCCTCGGAGCGACTAGCATCGAGGTGTAAAATCGTACGTGACGTTGAGGCAACCATAAAGCCATCTCACTTGCTAATTCGCGATAAATTTTTGTCTGCTATGAGGGCAACCTGGTTAGGTGGTGTGTCCTCGCGCAGATCTGTGATCGTAGGTTGAATATATGCTGGCAGGGATTTGAGCCTCGATGTGGGGGAGAAGTCTGAGTATCGCCTGCGTGAGACGATTGTAGATATTTGGTGCGTGGGAATCGAGGAAGAACTCTCGGACAGCAGAATTGTGGTCCTCAGATAAAGACTCCCGAGCATAGACGTATTTCTACCGCTGGCTCATGATGCAGCGGATCTCGAATTGAGCCTCCATTGCCGCGAACCAGACTTCTGGATCGTGGGTAATGGAAGAGATTGATCGAAAATGAATGACCTGTACCTGGGAGTCTGTTAGTTCACCGTCATTGTTGTGAATATAGTAGATATATTAATAAATATCGGTATAGTAAGAGCAACAACGAGAAATATAAATTAACGTTGGTAAATAAATCACTAACTCACCTGATTTGGCTTGAATTTGGCAGGCTTAGCAGCAATTGATGCCTGTTCAAAATCGTCACTCACCAATATAGCCAGTTGTAGCTGTGTACTGCGATATAACCAAGGTAAATCACTTGCCAGCCAAATATCGAAAATAAAGTTGTGATTGGAAGTAGAGGTATATTTGTTAGTGATCTCGTGATATCGAAAAAATTTCAAGATCCCAACAGCCGTTTTTGACAAGTCTACCGAGGCAACGTGAGCAGTGTCCGTTTCACGTGATGCGGAAGAGAATGGTTTTTGGTACAGATAAACGAAGGAGTACAATAAAACAATCACTAGTACAATCGGTTCTAATAATAAATGTTTCCATTCGACCAATCGTGTTCTCTTCATAAAAGTGTTCCACTACGACTACATTTGGTGAGATCGGGTATTAGCTTTTCAAGTGCTTCATATGTAGTTTGTTGGTGTAATGTAACACTGACTGATGTAGTAACTATTTGACCAGCCCCCCATATGTATGGATTTTTGCTTATCTTTAAGAAGTGTGCATTATTTAGATACTGAGGAGCACAAAGCATTCATCATCAGTCCACTAGTCCCAACACGTTCGCGTACCTGTGTCACGACAACACGTTTATGAACTATACTCTCGTTTTTGTCTGCGTGAATAACTAGGCCACTAGATACTCTAATGAGTTTTTCTTCAGGTGCTATCAAACTATGAGTTATTTTCATTTTCTATTGGCTACTATTCGCCGAAAAGAGTTGCCAAATCGAAATCGAATGAATCAATAAATTATTAGTTTCTGATATATATATATATATATATATATATATATATATATATATTATTTTCAAGACAGTTATGTATTGATTTGCTTTTGTTGCTGTCTCATACTACATACAATACCATGAAATTATTTTGCTCAAAGAGAGGAAGTTCATCTTTTAAATCGAAGGGTTTTGTTATTACAATCACTGGTTTAATTATCACCGCATTTATTTATTTGTTAGCCATGACTGTGCTAACAAAAGATATGAAGAATACTCAAAACGTACAAAAAGTTACCAAAGTTAGTTTATTTATTTTCAAACCAAAGTCTTTTCAAATATAAATTCCCTCATATTGGTACTGTTGATGTAGTAGTTTTGACAATTTAATAAGTAATATCTGTAACTGGGACAGGGATGGGTACCTTTTAGGCTATCTATATAAACTCTTACTGTATGCAGTGATATTAGGGCGAATGAATCGGTGTGCATGAAAACTTAGACCTTATAAATACTAAATCATATTTGTGATTTAGCTGAAAGAATTTATAGAGCAAAGTTTTTAAGTTGTAAAAATACTGTTCTGGAGGGTTATTTTTCTGTAAGCTAAGTGGCTTTGCAATCGAAAAGTTAAGATGAGAATGTATTCTCTGTCAAAAAGTAAGGGCTTGTAACTACCTAATATCTCATGTGTTTATCAATGTGAGATTATAAGTAGGAAGAGAGTTAAGGATATACATGGATAACTTTGTGTTTCGGCTTGTGGAGTACTTTGTGGATTTCAGACCACTTTGCCAAACATATAAACAATAATACTCTCTCTATCAAATACTGATTTCCTCTTATTTTTAAAGCTGGTTGTGAGTTAACGAAAACATAAATGAAACCTTCATCGTTAAACCAATCAGCTCCGAAAACACACCACAAATAAATGTAGTTCAAAAGAAAGATTTTATAAATCGTAGGCGCTGATTTTTGGTTCTTCAAGTTTTTGTAATCACAAAAGTCTACAATATTTGATTTACTCATCGTTATATGGAGCAATCGTTTGAAAGTCTTATTCGTAAGCCCATTTCATTCTTATTTACTGTTTCACATCATTAGTTTTATCATTATTATTTTCAGAATAATAAAATCCATATAGTTTCACTGATTGAAGGTGATAAGGATTTGAATTATGTAAATTCACTTATCAAGTCTTTGCTGTATCATCAAAAGCGTTTTTATTGTCAAAATAGAAAATGTTGTCTGGTCGACTTATGCAAGCGAAGTAAAAACGGAAACTTTCATTGTTCACATAAGAAAATACTGAAGACCACTGGCCCAATAACTTTCCACTTTATAACTGACAAACCCACACGACTTAAATTCCAGAAAATGGAGCAAAGTTGGCAATTGATAAATGTGAAATTCCAATTTTATGAATATCAACGTTATTTGGTTTGTTCGTTTGTTTGCATTAATTTTTTATGATATTATACAATTTAATAAAATATACTAAGAAAACTCACGTCTAACACAACCAATTACTATCACACTATTTTCACTTTCACAATTACGATATTCTGCTTCATAGTGTGAAATAGTCATGTATCTTAATCCGATGATCTACATTTTAGTAGTTTTGATCTGAGGGAAACATATCTTATGAGATTGTTTTAATCCCTTTCTTAGTTGAGTAATATTAGTAGTCGGATTAGATTCTTTGAGGTAAAATCGACTGGTCTATATTTTGGAAATTCATGTACATTTTTTTGATAGTTTGCTGAGGCATCCCAAGTTTACATTGGTATATAATAAAATGGAATCTGATGAGTTTCAGGTTTGCTAGAAGGTAGTATTCTCTATAATTTACAGGCCATGATCATATGAAAACTCTGTCTAACATTTCCAGTCATAACATTATCAAGTTTAAATCAGAACCAAAGCTTGTTTAGACTTTCTTTTTAGTCGTCTGAGAGCGTCATTTCAACAGATAAATGTATTTCCAAATGACGATGCTTTATTACGTCACTTATTTATGAAATGTGCATCTTTTAATTAAGCGGTGAGTTATCAAATGTTCGAAATTAAGTCATGTATTTAATTTAAAAAGCATATTTCGTAAAACACTGAAAACAATCCAGTTAATTTCTGATGTTTTTATTGATGCACTTTATTACTAATTTGTTTTTATTTACAAAGCATAAACTTGACTGGGTTTTATCCAAGCGTTCTGAAGATATCGGATCCTGTTTAAAATTACTATTACCCGAAGTTCTACCAAGATATGTCAGACAGGTATGTACGTATTGCTGTTAATGTTCTGAAAATGTAGAAATAACTTACAGAAGAAAAATAAAGGTACATTTTAAGTATTTTGATAGGTATTATCACAATCAAGATATCTTCTTAACATACGGAAAATGTTTTAATCTTAGGTGTCTATAACTGCTTATTTGTCTTGTCGTGAAATCTCACTTATTTGGAGATCATGCGGTGTGAAGGTAATCTTTCATTTACATAACCATGATAATATTCAGCACACTTCATACAGTCATTAAGAATAAATTTAAAGTTCTGAACAATTACTGTGATTGCTTCTGATGAAGATAACTGCCTTAAATTAAATTGTCACATGTTAGCTAGTTAATCGTATTTAACGAATCTTTCTTCTTCATAAAACACTATTTCAGCATTTATGCAAAGGTGACTATTAAATTCCTTGTTAAAAGCAGTGACTTATGGAATGACTTAAATGCAAATATAACTGATATCTGTTCAAATGAACCTCACTTTCAGTTATTAGAAGTCATGTTTTATACGTGATTGCGCTATGTGATAAAAAGTGCATTTGCATGTACGAATTAAAACTGAGAGGTGAAGTGATTGCTATTTTATACTGTGGATATTTCAATGCAGTTAATTGTAGATAAGATTTTCATTAACATTACATGTTGTTATTAGAATGAGCTATTCGAACTAAATAAAGTTTAGGAAGTATTTCATATACCTCATTTTACAAATGAGCTTCTTTAGGAACAAAAATGTGTTTTAAAGGCCTTCAGCTTATGTTTTCAGCCTTGTAGGCATCATTTTTGTTGTAAAAATGCTTTAGTTATCTATGTTAGACAAAATTTCGACTAACTAGAGAACATTTTAAATCAATATATGTATTCAGGTGGGCCTCGCGAAATTCCAAGACGTTTCTTTCATATTTGTGTATTCATATATAAGTATCCCAAGTTATTGTCATTTTAAATGAGATTTAAAAAATGTTCCTCGTAACCTGCTATTTATACATTACTCTTGAAATCGGTATGATGGCCAACTCAAGAAAGAAATACATGGTAATCAGCTATTTGTTATTGTTGATCGTGAATTAACGTTAATCTAATGATATAAGTAGTATTCCTATTTTCATATACCATTCTTATATACGGGTTTTAAATCTAGACTATTTTAGTATTTTGCTCTAGATTTCAATACAGTATCGTCAACACCATTAATGCATATCAACAGCTGCAAATATTGTTGTTCTATTAAGTGTAGCACAGAAATTTCAAAAAGTATTTACGACTTTCATGATTAGCAGCTGGTTGATATCATTAATTGCTCACTGCATAACCTATTTAAAAATGTGTTTGGCTGAAAAACAGAGTCTCCTAAGTCAATAAGAAGTTACAGTTTCAGCTTATTTAGTTACTTTCATAATCGTTTGGTACATTATTTAGATCAGGTGTTTTCGTAATCGAATCAAATATACTCACGTTTATCAATCTGAATTTGAAAATAAAGAAAATTAAATTGCGTTCCTGTAACTGGTTTTTGATGAAAATCATTAAAAGAATTTTCTTGAGTTTATAGAGACCATAATTACAATTCAACTAAAAATTGCTCAAACAAAATTTAAACTAGACATTATTGCTTTGGTAACTTGCCATTAAGATTAATGTGTATATTTACTAGTTAATAAACAAAACTCATTTCCAGATATTTTCAGATGAAGGTTGAATTCGCTAGTCAGAATGCTATTTAGACCGAAGCTGTTGATATTAGCCAAGATTATCTCACAATACAATTGATATAAAGAATAAGAACTTGCATGAAATGTACTTCATTTAAACACAAACTTACTTAGTAATTTAGTTTAAAACAACAATTGTTGTAACAGTACCTGGTCATTGTTTTTCTAGTCTCAGTATTCGAATTCTAATCAATATTTACAGCAAGTACATTAAAACTCAGTGACTAATATGAAGTAACTGGGGAAGACATAATTACAAGGAAGTGACTTCATATGTTTTAACAAAGCAACCCAGCTATTACGCTAACGACATAAACATGGTTTATTAACAAAACTAGATCATATATTTTGAGTAGACAATCGTAATGTTGGATAGTTAGTCTAGTTCAATGAAAAAATATGAAAACTTGTAATTTTCTACACCTGAAATCAAATCAAACACAAAATGAATAGAAAGTATCTTATTAAGTTTGGACTGCGGAGAAACACAACCATCCTTTAGACTTTATATTTAAAAGATTGCTATTACGATAACATTGTAAGAAAATATCATATTTCTGCATATATTTTTCGTACAGAAATAATGCTTAATTCATGAACAGATGACAAGGACAAACTTTTGACTTATCGTTTAATTTATTGAAACGATATTTAGTAACTCTGTCCTCCGTTTCATTTTAAGCAAATCATTGATTTGTTAAGTGTATACTTACCTTTTTCCTTTAGGTTAACATTGAAATGTATTTACTAAGCTACTCAATAGAATTAATGTAAATGTGTGGTAAACAATGATTGAAAATCGGATGTTTCCTTATTTACAAAATATTTGAAAACAAAATTGATTCAACCAGGGTAAAAATGAATTTACTAACGACAGTTAACTTTAATAAATTTAGAAACTAAGCATGCTTATTAAACTGTTTCAGGTCATCGTTCTTGATCCATATTTATTGTTGAATGCCGACATCAACGAATTGTGGGGTCATTTCAGATACTTTAAACCCTCTCAAGTAGGTCATTACATGCTTTTATAAAGATTTTAACATTTAATTATCAGTTAGTAATGGGTCATAGCCACGTAATAACTGGTTCCCGACATGTATATCTTTCTGTGAAGATTACTGCGAACAATAGTTTACCTTCAACTGACATAAATCCTAACATTTCTGACTTTATTCAGTAAATGTATTTTTTTAAGTTCTTTATCTAAAATTTTTATAGTTCCGAAACATGCTTAAAATGTCATTGGATATGAAGATGAAGTGTACTTTACTGAAACAAGTTGATCGAGTACTATTTTGGTGATCCCGTGATTGAACACCTGATCAGAAAGAATCATATGAACATCTTACAGATCAATAGTTGTCAAGCAGCTGAATAGGCACATGCTATAAATGTTGTATCCACTTCGAATAGTTCAACTTTGTTGTTACTGCCAGTTAAAAAAGTAATCGTTGTTTTTTAGGTAGATGTCAATGATACACACACAATAATGTTGTTCGTATCTGCTGCATACAATAATGCTTTAGGCAATGAGAGAAATAAAATAAAGTATTCAACAAAGTTAACTCAAAATATGTTACTTCTATATTCTATATCAAATTGTATCAAGGAAGATTACAATAGACGTTTCATACTAATCGGTTAATCTATTGAAGAAAGTGAAATTATGGAAAAGACGACATTTTAAATTATTTCGGTTTTGGTAAATTAAATGAAATAAATAGTCTGCCTTACTGTGGATAAACTAATTTCCCCTTTCTGTTTATGCAAAACTATCTTCATCATCAAATAACCTGTAATAAAAGTGATGAAAAAAAATCGCCTAAAATAGGCCTAATCCCAACCAATTGACTCATCTGTAATTCAATAGATGTAAAGCCCTTGGATGCGGTACTTTAAATAGTCTGATAGGTTAACTGTTTATAACACGTTGAATACATGTTAGTGATATAATCTCTGTCTTAAAGAATGGCATATTTGAATTTCAAACAAGCTAAATCACGAGCATGAATAAACAGATACTGATTCACTACAAACTCTTTCTTTTGCAGATTTTAGGAATGACAATGGAACAGAATCCCAAATTTGAAGTTGTCATGAAGAGTTTAATTAAAGGCTGGAAAGTAAGTAGGAACAAAATACTTTTAATGCGGCTGAAAAAATTATCACCATTTGTAACATCATTATTTAGAATCCACCGATTCTTATCTAGTTAAGTTATTTTTTAGCAGTGTACGGTATGCATATATAAGAATATTTCATTTTTATCGTTCAGAGGTGTTTATACTTTGTAACGAGGTAAGGGAAACGGATATCATAAGTTTGGGTGTCAAGGGAGACATCAGTCACTACGTTTCTTCCTTACTATTGTAGAAGTTAGAGGTAACAAGCGCCCCAATTTCTTTATCAATATCATCATAATTCCACGAATGACCACTTAATCTTATCTATCCGCCAGTACAACAGAAGCAGGGGTATTAGAAACTGAAAACATTAACAAAGTAATATGAATACAGAATTGAGGTTGAAAATAGGTTAACCTCCCCAGTAGTCAAACATAATTCAGAGAATATCTTTTGTATGAATTATGATAATCAGTGTACACACCAGTCCATCTTCTCTGGAGTGGTAAGATTTACACACGGTGTACAGATTGGTTCACGGAATTTGATGATGATTAGAGGGTTGTAGAGATTGTTGAGCTTTATTGAAATCATGAATCGATCAATGTTAGACCATCAAGTTTCTAATGGTGGATCGGAACAATAAATAATTCCGCATAAATCGGGCAAATGAAAGCATGAATAAGTTGAAGGATTATAGAGAAATGAAAATGAATGGCTAAACCACCCTTAACTGTTTCATTGTTAATTATACACATAAAACTGAAGTTAACATGAACCTATTAGAAGCGTTTAAATAACTGATTGTCATTTTTTATTATTGTCAAGTCAACAAGTTTTCGAACTTCAAAATACTCCATAACTTAAAGAGCAGCTTCAAATTAAGTTGGTAAGGAAATTTATTTGTTTTTTTTTTGATGAGTTATCAATAGCCCTGGTAAAAATGTTAGTTGAGTCAGAATGACCACCAGTAAACACTTGAAAAGTTGATTAAGTCATTCATTTATAAACACTAGCAATCAACAAATGAATTGATAGGGTACTTCACTTCAGATAGTAGTAATCTAACTAGACTACTTGTGGTGTGAATTTCATTCTGACGCCGGATTTTTTATTGCACATCCATTGACTGTATTCACCGTCATAAGAGAGTTTATCAAATTATGACTATCTTAAATTAATTCAAGTCAACATTGTTTAAAAGAAGTAAACAGTTTAAAAAACGTTCCAAAATATCGATGCATCATAAATCGATTCTGACAAATGTGAATCACATACATCTGAGTTATTGTTAATGCTCATATCTAATCAAATAAAAGACAACGTGAAATGGAATCGCCTTCTTACTAGTAGCTCACAACTTGATATGTTTGTAATTATGCATCGTCTGGATTAAATTACAATGAATCAACAATACTACTATTGATGCTTAAAATTAACTAACACCAGATGAGTTATTTGTATACACAAACCAAACAAACCAATTGCTGGAAATTACCGGATTCACAAGGTATTTTTACTCAGTTTTATCGATTATTCAGATCAAAAAGTGTGCACTAGTAACATTTATGATTGTGAGAATAATATGTAGGTAGCACAGTTAACGACTAATGAATAGGTAAAATGTGAGCGTCACTTTAGCAAATAAGGTTTGACATTTGAAGCGAATTTTTTCGCTAGTGATCAAATCATAGTGATTTTCACCGTTTTCAGTATCGATCGAGTTTGAGATAAAGCAAATACAGTATCATATTTAATTAAACTTTGTGATTCTGAGATATGAATTTAATTCACTATGATCCATCGTGTCAAAAAGTGCATTGATAATTCTGTGTGTACAAACATTTTAAAAACTCAACTGAACCAAAATCATAGATATGATAAACAGACCTACTGTCTAATAATCGTGACAACAGTGATTTCTTTTGACAAATAAATCGTCTCAGATAAACTGTGCTCGGCATTTGAAGTGGTATTTTTCCAAAATGAAACTGACGTGTCTTTAGTAAAACCAAGGATACTTTAAGACAAGAAAATAAATGAAACTATGAGTAGCTACCATTAGTGAAAATCAAAGCTTTGAGAACCGATTACATCTTTTTTTCCAAACACTGTTCATTGTTGGTTTGTATTCTAATTGATAACTTTGTTCAGCAAATCTTAAGTTACGCGACTAGCTTATGATAACTTTCAATCAAGGACGTTTTGAATTTCTCTAATACTAACGGAATCTAATAAAAACTTGACAGACGGTGAGACTAGCACACAACACTTCAAAAATAATTCACAATGCTATGCATTACAAAAAGAGTCTGGCGTTCAGCTAAGACTTGGCATTCAAAAGGAAGGAAAATCGAATGTAGAACAGCTGTGTAAATATAGCAACAAACATGACCTTCGAAAACTAAGTGTAAAAAGGTCACTTCAGTAACGATAAAATTCATGAAGATATGTGAATTAGAACAAACATTAAAGCGGTTCTGATCACAGGAAAGGACTAATATTTATTAACAAAAAGCTAGATAACCTTAGGTCTCCTTATCAGTCAAATTATTCCAAAATAAGAATAAGCAGTGTCACATTTGTTTACAGTTGTACTCATAATAATTCGAATCGAGTAGAATTCTGACAAAAGAGTAATCCCATAATGATATTTGTCAATATTCATTATTAGTGGACAGTTTCCGTTATGCGCTGATTTCATCTTACGAATCATTGCAAACTGGGAAAGAATAAGAAACGTTTTCGTCTTAGTTCATGACGATCCAGGGGTTCATATTTATTAATACCCTAAAAAACTCAAAACATTTAGTTCTAGCATCAGGCACATCACCTACAGACCTTTCAATTGCAATGCAATGATTCATATTTCAAGTTTCAGTCAATTCGTGATTTAAGACAAAGACACCAGTATTTAAGTAATACACTTTCAACATAGTTGAAATCCACTGCATGCGACTTCGCAATGTAACTTCGGGAATCACTCTTGAACCTAGTCACTAGTGTGCATTATCAAGGTGGGTGGTTTATGAAGATTAGTTTATATTATATAATTGTTGTTACAGACTGTTTAGCTGAGACGTTATATTCCTTTGCCAGCTACCTCTGATGAAAATAAACAAGAAAGATATACACTTGTGCAGCCAATTTGGAAACTGGTCTTAGTAAAATAATCTAAAATATCGTTGGCAAGCTCGAATCGTTGTTGGTATTTTGAGTCACTTAACCACATCACCGATTGTTGCAAGATTTTAAATAGCTTACCCACTTAAAATAAGCTATCTTCTGGAATCTCCAATATTCGATTTAAAACATTACTTATATCTCAAGAAACTAAATTTTTCTATCAATGATTCATGTGGTTTGCACTGCAGGTTAGCAGTACTGAAAAACTATTGAGAATCTGGGAGTATTAGATATTTCTATCATATTTTAGCATAAAGTATGGTGAAATAAATGTTTCGAGGGATTCCCAGACATTGTCTCATCGATATCACGCTTCTAACATATGAATCAATCCTTGTTTCAGGGTTACGGATATAATAGCGGAGTTATTTTAATGGACCTAGCCAAATTACGCTCATTACCGTGGAATCATTTGTGGATGAGTGCTACTAAATTTGTTATGAAGACTGCGGGTTATTTGTCAGCTGGTGAACAAGTAAGTCATTATCTATATTCCTATTCTTTCCATAAATAAACGGACTAATTAATGTCAGCCATGTGTATATATCTTTGCCCGTCGTTTTTCAAATGGTGACTGGCATGGAAATTCAGGAGGTACATCTACCTTGCTTAGGACACATCACCTAGGTTTTGCTGCTCCCCAACCTTAAAGTTTGCTCTAGCTATTGTTTCGAATTTGGATAAAAAAATATCTTAAAATTACTAAATAAGAAATATGAAAATAACCATACTTGATTTGCAAATATTATTTGAGGCTGGTATTTGGTACTATCTACTTCTGAAAAGTCATTGAGTATCGTTTAGCCAAAAGTAAGTACAACTGTGGTGCGAACTACTAATAAGTAGTATATGACGTGAGCGTCAACGTAATGTCTGGCAGCAGAAGATGGCGGAAGATCAAGAAAGGAAGAGTTAGAAAACAATGGAATTTGTATGAAACGCATGAATAGTGACAATGGAGTGATGTTTTGCAACAGGAACAGTCCAGTTCGATATGATGAACTGATATTTTGCAAATTAACGATTTACGATATGGTTTTCCGATTTTACTGAGTAACTCTGTAACTCTGTTGCAAAACTACAGCATAAAATTCTAAATGTTTACTTATTGTATCAATGGAATTACTGAGCATTTAATTTTCCAATTAATAGCACTTGATTTCTTGTCGATTGAACACCTTGAATATCTACCATTTTTCATAAAGTATTGTTAAGCACAGTGAGTTAGATGAATACGGTGCGGTACATTATGTAACAGTGTCTGATAAAATAACTTCACAAAACATATGATCAATCCATGTTGCACAGACAACTTTGGCATCTACATCATAGTATAAGATTAATCTTTCTTAGCTCTAACTTAAACTGATTATATGTACAGTTCTGGATTTTACGTGTTGACATAATTATTACTTATAACGTTTGTAAATAGTTAAACAGAATGTCTTCATGGTAGATTCCAAGATACCTACTAATTGGCAATATTATTAGCTGTCATTATGATACCTGACATTACAATTGTATCTATTTATGTTTCTAATTCATTTGAGGATGTCATAAATTTAATTACCTTAAGAAATAATGAGATATTTTACGAGATACCTTGTGAATGGAACATACAGCTCAGTTCAGGCGTTGATACACACAGATGTCCTGTTAGTTGGCTGACTGAAAATTTGCAACTAGACAACAAGGATTTAATATATGAAAAGCAGCCTAAACTTGTGCACATAAACCATCAAGTAAAACCAGAAGATCTTGACTTGGAAAATGCACTAAATATTGATACCAATTCATCAATGGTGATTTATAATGGTAAGTCACATTAAAATTACTAATGAGATGCCTTAGTAGGCGTGAAATTTTTGTTTTGTAACTAGATCACATATCTGTTCTCAGGGTTCATCTCCTTTTTCTTGTATCACATTGGTTGAATAACCGATCAACAAAGTGGCTATATTCTCAGTGGTTGAAAAGTATTTTGTATGTACAGCCATTTTGAAGACGTCATTTTTATGTTGGATTGATTTACGATTGAAGAATGTTATTGCTATGGTCTTATGAACTTAAATGCAAGCTCAAACTGAATTAGTTACTGTTTATTGTAGAACCAGTTATATTAGTTATATAGCTGTATATGAATAAATATAACATCCAATTTATTTGTCTAGGAAACTTTGTAAATACTTCTTGTTCTAAGAGGACCTTTAGAAAAATACTATCGTTGTCAAGAATTCTTGTGGAAAAAAATTTAGACTAAACCATTATTAATTGAACGGACAATATTCTTTTCAATAAATTCTGATCACGATCTACAATCATATATCCAAACCAATAATATGAAGAAATATGATCAGAGTTACGGAAAAAAACATCGTTTCAAACTGTAGCTTATGTGATCCTAGGATTATTTGTGAACTAAAACAAAATTGTTAATGTTGAGATGACTAATATGAAGTGTTAACTTAAACGAATTTATACATTAAATGAAATTGTGACATCAACGACCAAAGAATAAATACGGGTTACACAAGAGAAAAGAAATAATATTCATGCCTTTACCGAATTCGATCGAATTTCCTGTAGATAACGTTGTATTAATTCAATAAGAAATATTAAAGTGAAGCGAGAGTTAAGTAGACTGATCATATGTTTAGAAGATTAACGGTAATTTTAAAATAATAATAATAATAATTCAGATATATGTGTATAAAGATAGCAGGGCCTATTACATCTGACGAAGATAGGTCGCATGTACATCAGTCCATTTGAGTCATTCCACGGTTAGGTGGCTAAAAGATGAAGTGCCTAGAATAATCACCTCGTTTTGCATCTATCAATTCGACTGTTCATACGGAGCCATTTCCCAACAATGGCTATGCAAATGGGTAGTGAATGCTGTGAACTACTTAATATTAAGCCATTTAATGCAAACAGGTCATAAAGCCAGTATAGATAAATTTTTCTCAAATGTTTACTGGGTTAGTAATTTTTTCGAACACAAATAATCCTAGTATCATATAAGCTACAGTTTGAATCGGTGTTTATTTCCGTAACTCTGATTATCTTTCTTCATATTATTGACTTGGATATATGATTGTAGAACGTGATGAGAATGGATTAAAAAGAATATTCTCCGTTCAAATAATGATGATTTAATATTATGGGGATTTTTAAATTTAACTATTTATGCAAAGTGGACTTTTTGTATTGAAGTGTTGAAAACATTAACAGTAAACTTTAGACATTTAGGTAAGTCAAAAGGCATATTTTGGAAGGCACAAAAAAATCACGACTGAAAACTGCGGTCCAAAATTAATTTGGTCTGTATTAAGATCACAGTAAACAATCTTTCTTAACTCCATCAAATGAATCATTAATTCTACTCTTTTACTTATGTTAATTTTATTGCCTATTCAACTGGTGGAAAACTTTGATTGTTTTATATGTAATTCATTTAATTTTGTTAATTTTTTCACAGCTATTTTACTCTACAAGGTGTACCTTAAAGAATATTTTAAATATCGACATCTTGATCAAACATGTTTTTACTGAACCTTAAAAAACGCACCACATTTAAAATGAAGCATTTTCTGGTGTTTTGTTTTTTAAAATTATATATGTATATCCTTTGTATGCTGCTGAAATATATATGTATTTGCAAATCCATGTTCGAAAATTGTATTTTCAAATAAGTACCGCGGCCAATCCAAACTTACGATTGAAGATTTCAAGTGTCAATTCATTTAGGTTAAATAAAACCGATAAGTCTTCAAAAGCTACTTTATCCTTGAGGTATAACATCGCGGAAATTTCCGCTTCCAGTAGCGCTAAGCTTCATTACAATTTTTGACATTCTCATCTTCAGCCAACCTTTGGTATAGCTTGATGTATAATAGAAGCCAACTTTTTCAGGCTAAATAAGGTATGAAATTATTGATCCACAATTCGAGAATAAAACTCAATAGGTCGAATTTATGAACTCAATTGTATATAACATTATGCAGTTCCCTCATTTATAAATACTATTTAGTTTTAGTGGTCTGATAAAGCACAAACAGTTAAACTGGCAAATGAAGTCTATCAGAACTTTTTGTCCAATTGTGCAATAATACAAGAGCCACAAAACAAATTATGGTTCGATCAATAGTTGCTATCGTTTTTGATAATGAAGACAAATGATAATTTGAAAATTGATTGTAATCTAAACCTACAGAAATTCTATATTGGATAAAAGTGTATACACATGAAATAATAGGTGAATGGTATTGTGAAACAACTAAACTAAATCTGTAAAAAATAACATAAATATGTCAGTTAACATAGTGAAACTTTTTAGACGATGAGAATAACATCTGTGATAATATTTACCCACGCAGTTGATTGTTGCGGTACTGTCTTTGACTGTAGATGGCTAAGGGTTAAAATCCACTACAAACAAGTACAAGTGTTTGTTCTTTTCACAAGCAGCTGAGATCAACAACATACTATTCTCTTTGTACAAAATACAAATATTTAAACACGCTAATCAATATAGCACCTACATTCCATTTTGCAGTTTTACAGGATGATTCAGAAGTCTCAAAGTCAATCGGAATCTAATCACCAATGTCAACATAGTTCAGTCGAACCAACTAGTCAAGCTATAAACTTAGATTTACTAAAAATTCAGTAAAAAAGCATGTATTTATGATGATTAAAACCAATCATACGGGATGTCTTGAAACTGCGAGATACAAAACGTTACTTCTCATGATTGATTTGAGCCTTCGCATTGTAATAACAATCAACAAAATAATTTAATCACCAGAAATTTGTATCGAAAGCCAATGTTTACGATAAGATTATACACGTTGCTGCTTCCAGCCCCACTTCAATATGAATCAAAATCCGTATAAACTCAGTTACTGTCTATATTTACACACTGGATTTCCATTATGCCTTGCGCAGTGTAGTCCATCAATCAGAGACCAACAATACCCTAACTTATAGTTGAGCAATACACATTATGCTTCTAATAATCATCACTTCGCGCAAGTAATTTAAACTGTAGGTTTCGAATGTTAACCAATGGTTTACATGCTTGTTTTGCGATAGTATCTTCATGCCTATATTCAATCGCAGATTTCATTTCGCATCTCCTGAGCTCCTACTGTCAAAGGTGATTTGAGTGGCACCATCATGTTAATATAAATGTGATCGATTTGGTTCTGTGTAGTGTGATCCGGTGAAACCCATTTTGCTCCGTATATGCCAACAGCATTCCTTATTACCTTCAGCTCTTGTTTCACACTCGAAGGACCTTTAACCTAATTGTTGAGTTTTCGCTTTTAGTGTGCATTTATTAGACTCTTCTAAAGACCTCTTTTGTCCTATATGTATTGCGCTTGAATTGAATACTTTTTTATTCGTTCACTCTGGTCATGAGGTCTTCTTGCTGACTTCGAACGTTTTGCAAATTTAATTTGTGTATGCTTTCTTTAGGCACAATGGTGACACCCATAACCACTTTACTGACGGCACATAGATTGGCGAGTCTCTCATCATATTCGTTCCATTTTCCCAGCCCAGATGTCTCACGGTGTCTTCGCAACTGGCGTTGTTCGCTTCAACCTTAGAGTCTAGGTCTCCCATCAGAATGCTGAAGTTCTTTTTCTGGGTTTTTTTCAACGACCTACTAGATTCTCAAATTCAAATGATTTTTGCTATCTCCGCTGATATTGGTGGTAAGAGCATGACGTTATATGGCATCAGTTGTGAGTTTTACCTTCTTTGTGCTTGAGGGATACTTGGATGGTCGTGAATCCATGATATTTCCACCATACTAATTGATTCACCTATTCCACCATTCTATCGTACATAGATTTCTGTGAGTAACTACGACTTCGCGAGTACAAACTAGTCGGAGCTCAAACGCCTTGGTACAGTCGACTGGGGTATATCAGTACCTCTCCCTAAGCATATTTTTTCTGTACAGCCTGGGTCGAACGGATTTCACTTTTTCCAAGCACTACTGGTTATTAGAAGGTCATAAGCCTAGCAGTTACATAAGAATTTCGGCTTATAAATATATAGTCGAAAAGTAAATTAAAACTCTTCAAGTTTGTTTGGGTATCTTTGTATTATGATGAAAACTAAGATTATTTATTGTTTTTATAAACAGCAATTTCGTAAACAATAACAGCAACAAAAAAATCAAAAGAAGTTAAGAAGACAGTCAATTTGGTTTTGCACACTTTACACCTTTCAGAACTTTGATTGACTGCCATAACATTGAACATACTATTGCACCCCAGAATAGGTTCAATATATCAAGTATAATACCCAAAATAAAATAAAATCTGAAGGCATTAATAAGAAATATCCGTTGCGATTCAGCGGTATTATAATAAATATTGTAGGATACCAAATACCAAAATGGAACTGCAAAGATATTTCGTGTTAGAATAAATGTGACAGCAAATAATGTGGTCATGATGGCAACGTATTTGTGATCTGAAGCATATCCACATGTACGCAAACACCACCTGTTTAAGATATTGGAAGATAAAAGTTTGATCGTTTAGTTCAGATCCTTAAAAACTAGTTTTAAAGGCATTTTACATAATTTTGTGATATATAAACAGAGTTTGATGGTGAAATTAAGCACGGTCATGTGGTTTAGCGCAATGGAATCTCTTTTAGTAGATTTCTTTGAATGTAAACATAGAAAATATGAGAGTTTGGTACTGAACATTTTGAACCAAATAACGTCTAAAATATCGGTCATCTTTGTCATTTAGCTATCTAATTCATAAGTTAGATTGGAAACTGTTCATCTAGACCTATCCAGTTTAAGATTTTGATTTGAACACTGCGACAGCATCACTCGTACAGATAATATCAACTCTATTAAATAACTCTTTGTCAAACCCGGCATTCGTATTGAACTGGGCAATAACTATGCTTACTTAGATACTGACACCCATCTAAGTTGGATCGTTTGACTGTATCATCTTCTCCCCTACTTATAAGTATGTATAAAAATGGAAGTTTATTGTTCTTCTCCTCTTCACACGAAAAACTGAGTGTTGAGTGTATTCAACAAACGATCCATCTACTTTTTATTACAGATAATTAATTAAGATATCATCCACTTATCTCTTATATAAAAGTACATACTTCCAATTAGATTTTCAGTTAAATTTTCAACATTTGCCATAAACACATCAGCTAATAATGGTTCTAACGAACAACCCGTGACAACATTGTCGATCTGACCATAGTATTCACCTTCGAAAGTGAACTGGCTTTTGTCAGTGTATAAGTGGAGCTAGGTAACGTCTCCTCTGCCTAGCTGAAGCCATTTTTATCAACTGCAGAAAACCTAACTTATGTATTCTTTGCATGCTCGCGAGCACATTCCAGTAAGGTTAAGCAAAGCTATAGTCAAATATGTTAACAGCTCAATTCTAGTTCACTTAGTACTTTCATCATTCATATATATGGTTTGTTATGATGGGAATTTTTCGGAGACATAAATTTTATGGTCTTTATATTTCATACTCATAGCTCCTCTTATCAACCTTAAGAGGGAAGAAAAGGGATTTGACCAGAATAACATGAATTCATGTTATAAATTTTGGTTCTCGTCAGTTGCTTACCATATGTAATACTTAAAGTCATAACAAAGATTGAATTTAAATTACTCAAATGCCAGTGTTTAATTGAGCATGCATCAGTAAAGTAGAAGTAGGATGTAAACGATTCAAATAGACTATAAATATGTACTTCATATAAAACATTTTACAAGAGTGATAACGCTAAAAACCCTAAAGAACCAGAAACAATTGGTTACGCAATGAATAAACGATTCCAACAAGTAAGAATAAAATGAGTAAAGCTCAGTTAAAGTAAAATAACATTAATAATCTGCAAGACCATAAAAATAAAAACATACTGATGAACATAGATGCAAAAAAAGAGTAGAAGAAAAATTGGTGTGGACTTTCGTTCTCGGTGCTGGGTGTTTCGGTTGTGGAGTTTTCGTTGCTCTTCTGAACAACATCACCAGTACAAACTTCAGATAAAAGGGAAGTATTCGAATTTCTCCACTGATGACTCGTTGCTTGTTCTGTTGACTTCGGTCTTGATTGGTTGTCATCGACCTTAAACCTGTCGTTGTCTGCACCTTCACTTTGATCTGTTTCTTGACCCTATGTTTGTCTATGATTTTTATGATTTGTTGATAAATTCGGTCAATGTCGATGTGTTTGCTGATTGCCGATTGACTTGAATGGCAAGCTTCCGAAAATTCTCTAGTGCTTCTCACAATTCCTTTATCCAGTATTTTCACACTGTTCTGATCGAATGTATGTCCATAGCTGTCCGTATGTATTGATATGAGAGAAGAAACATCGTGGCGTTTGACTGCTAATCGGTGTTCACGTAAACGAAGCCGTAAAAAATGTCCACTTTGTTCTATTGAGTGTCGTTCACAGTCACAACAGTTTATTTTGTAGATGATGTTTGTTCTTTCATCTTTTTTCTTTTTTTTCCTTGGTTTACATACGACTGATTGAATTGATTCTGTTGGTTCGTGTAGATTTCGTTGATAAATTGGAAAAACGTTGTTAAACATAAGTCAGTGAGTTC